AAGGACTCTGGAACCGTGTGAACGTGTAATCAGACAGCGTGACTCCAGCTTTGCGCAATTTTTCAAGCAGCCGTTGTTCTGGCGAAGTACCCCTGGAGTAATGGAACAGTAGAATCAGATGACAAAAACCTTGCAACCAAATGGCCATCACTTTGTCCACATGCGGAATGAACTGAAGCACAAACGACATGAACTTGCCAACCTCTGTAATAAGAACATGTGCTGACCGAATCTCCCTTGCGGAGAGTTGATTGGAAGCAAGGCTGTGTGCAATTCAGACAACCTGAAAGGCTGCTGCTGCGATGCACGTAGAGAGACTCTTGATACCCATCCTAGATGCAAAAGTCGCCGAGATCCCGAATTTTACTGCAAGTTCTTGCAGTTTTGCTTTCTCCTTGCCTCCGTAGTTGATCTGCACAAGCTTGGAGACAGACGCAATGTGTTCTTGAAAATCGACAAAGCGCTTTCCTAGGGGTCGTTTGAAGCTCTGGATCCACTTGTCGACGTCCCCCTCTCCTGATCCCTTTAGTCGGGCTTTGTGATCATTCAGGGCTTCTGCAGGAACACTGTCGATCTTACGCTTGAGGTCACTCTCCCAAGTCTGCGGTGGTGTCACGGATTGTGGACACGGAGCACTAGATTGCGAGGCAACCGGGAGCTGTGTTTGCAAAGCGGGTTTCGTGGGGGTAACGGGAAGTCCTGCGGCTTGTAACTGTTCACGGCGGCGATTGAGCTCTTCCGTAACTTGAAGAAACTTCTGAGATTGATCGACGCCTGCAGACACCGGCATGTTGTCGAACATGAGCTGAACGATCTTGTCAACCATCGGCTGAAACAGAGCTGCACAATCCGTGTTCTTGTTGGGAATGATTGTAGATGGATTAGCGGCCTGAAAGAGATGCGTAGCAACTGCGTCGATGTCAACTTTGCGATCTCGAAGGTTCTTCGTGACTTGCGACATGAACACTGCTTCGGCAACCGTAGCAACTGGCACAACACTGAAAAACTTGCCATGACTCAATGCTCGAAGACGCCAATCTGAGACTCCATGAAACAGGAATTCCTGAACAGGAATGCTGAGTGGGTCTTTTCCTGCGATCCCTTTCTTCCGCGACCACGGGGTGGCTTCGATGGACTTACGAAAGGACAACCCATGAAGTACCGTTGAATCATAATGATCACGATCTGACGCCCATCCATTCGGTAGTGCAGGAACAGGACCAGGACCTTGATGACATGGCATGGGAGTAGACGGCGAAGATGAAGGTGCCGAAGAAAGAGGAGGCGGTGGTAGTGGAGGTGGCTGACTAGCAGGTGCAGACTTGGAGAGGTTGGGATCAGTCCAACTTCCCGAGTTATACGGCTGATAGCGGTGCTGACCCCACGATTGCTGGGACCTCCCGTACCCTGTGCTGTTGTCCCACTGCCCATTCCATGCCATGGTTTCAGATCTATCAACAAATCTGAATACGCGGAATCACTAACGACACTTCGAATCAAAAAGCTGCAACTCAAGACGGCTCATGAAGAAACTCTTGCACATCCCTTGCACGTCACTTGCACGTCCGATGCATAAACTCTTGCACATCCCTTGCACGTCACTTGCTCTTCTCACTTGCAGTACACTTGCACGTCCCTTGCAATACACTTGCACTTCCCTTGCAGGTTTTCGTCACATGTAAACGTGCACAGCAGGTGACAACGGAAGAGACTTGAAGGCGTGGCCGGTCAAAGCAGCATGTTGCACTCAGACCCTCCAAAAAACAAGAAGCGCTTCCGGGATGAAACATGAAGAGCGAAAGACCCATCTGCCATCTTTGGCACGGGCAACATCACGAATGTAGCTGCAGGAATGGTCACCTTCGACCCCTCCCATGGGGATTCTTGAATGGGGAGGTGTGAGGGATCCTTGACGATTAAATGCATGTCCGAAAATGCACACCGGCCGCTCACTCAGAATGCCACCGTACTTGGCTGCTGCCTCTTGTGCTTGTTCTGCATCTGAAGTGTGAGCCCTAGCATAGAAGGAAATTGGTGGGGACCACTTGCTGTCACTAGCATCCCACCAAGAAGGTCGAATCGCTCCCTCAAGAAGGATTGATGCAGCCGCTGCCACTGTTGTGTTGTGTGCAACAGGAGAACGACGAATCCCTGCTGCAGAAGCATGCGACCTGATCATGGTCCTCTCAAAGTGGGTGAAGTGGATGCTCAAGCACTTGCACGAACTCGACAAAGAACGAAGCTCCACAGAATGAATGTTTGCGGCTTGGTCAGCTGCTGCAATTGCCTGAGAGACATACTTCAATGCTGTCGAATTGACAGCGTGGGGAGGAAGACCTAACAGGCTGATCAGATAGTCCGCCGTGTTTTGCATCAGAGAGCTGGGAACCTGCAACTCAAGATTGGCCGGAATCTTTGCCGAAATCTCACATGCCGATTTCATGCGGCCAGGGCTGGAACTGATCAAGTGACGTAGAGCAGTAAACATGGGGTATAATGCGGCCCAATTGAAGCTAGATGAATACACGCGTATCAGCTTCGCTTCTTCATCTCGCACTTCCAATCCACGAAGTTCAGGAATCACGAAGAAGTTTGAATCTTGCTCCCACTCAACTTCCACATGCCCTTTGAGAAGAGATCGATTCTCAAAATGCTCATACGAGTCTTGCAGCGGTCTAACTCGAAAGACGTAAGTCTGGTCCGCACTGAGCTGCCACCCTACGCGATCTGCATGAGTACCCGGAATCTGATCACAAATTGCACGAAGTCGAATGCTGTTAGGATCTGCAACGAGAGAAACTTCATTTCCAGGAACTTGCCGAAGTCGCTTTGTTGGCTGGGCTGAATCATCCGTTCGATACGTGATGGCTGACTGCTGGCTCTGAACAGATGCTGTTGACTGATTCCGTTGAGAAACAACAGACTGCTGAATGTCAAGCAAATTGTTGAGGCCAGCATACACATCTCTGTGGCCTCGGACATGTGTCAAGTTTGCTGCCATAATCGCTGAGTATTCAGCGAAATCAGCCACCGAACGAAACGACAACCGGAAACCTGTGCCATCTGCATGAAGAGTGATTGCAGGGGAAGCCTCTTGCTGCGGAATCTGCCGATCAGTTACAGGAAGTGCAGCAATCAAAGTAGGAGTTACATCTGTAGCTCTCGCTCCAACATCTGATGCAGAAGGGACCGGCAAAGAAGAAGATGAGGCAGGCGCTGGACAAACTGCAAGAGTGGGGGGTGGCGGGGGGAAGGCGGGAGGGGGAAGGGGAGGGGGGGGTGGAATCCACTTCGCTGTGGTACCACGGGCGGGGGCAGGGGCGGAAGTGGGGGGGGGGAGGCACAGGGAGATGGGGGAAGGGGGAGGAAGGAGGGGGAGGAGGAGGTGGGGGAGGAGGGGGAGGGGCTGATGTGCGGGTACTGCGTCTCTTTCCTGAAGAATCCATGGCAAACTGATCAGCAATTACTCAGAAGTACAGCTCGGAAACTCGATTTGTAGCCAAAGACCTGCGACAAGTCAGCGAAAAAGTCAGAATCGGGAAAGTCGATTTGATCATAGACAGTCAATGAGAAAGTCAGCATTCAGGTTTCGGTAGAAGCATTCGGTGAAGACTCATTGGGAAAGTCAGCTTGCAAGCACGGATATAGAATCAGGGAAAGTCATCCAATGCTTATACAGTCAATCGGGAAAGTCAACGCCAGAGCTACCTCTGGGAGACACGGCGCCCATAGGGAATGCCGTTGTGAAGCACACTTGACACATCGTGTCGCAGGTCTCGAATCACACTCTCAAAGTCAGAAGAGTCAGCTATGATTTCCTTGTCGGTCTTACTAGCGAAAAAAGCCAAGTGACACCTGTAACCTTGCACACAAACTCCACTCTATGCTCTGGCTGTCGGACTTGAAGCAGTATACAGCGAATATGAAAAGGAAAACAGTGTACGGCTTGCACAATGGAGTATGTCACAAGCTTTCGCAGGTACACGAGTCAGCGTCCTGACTCGCTTCACAGATGCAATGCTGGCGTCTTCGTTGGTGCCAGTCCAGCATGCATCCCTGGCACCCCCTTGCATTAGACACACTCGACCCTTTGGAACAGGGATGGACACACACACACACACACACAGACACACACACAGACACACACACAGACACACACACAGACACACAGAGACACACAGAGACACACACAGACACACACAGACACACACAGACACACAGACACACAGACACACACACACACACACCCATCCACGCAGAGACCCAAGATTGGATGCGGATTCAGGGCAGTGGGGCACATGAATAAATCGGGTCAGTCTGAATACAGGCTGTCTTTGTGAGGTTTGGGGTCTAAAGTCGTCAGTCGCTGTGAGTACAAGTCGCCTTGTTCGTGGTAGGCAAAAATCTGTCACAGTGAGTACAAGTGTGATAGTGAGTACAAGTGTTCCTGGCTCGTTTTCGCCGGGCTATGTTGGACTGTTGGATTGTCCGCCTGGAATGCGATCCAGGTGATCCTGCTTCTGGTGAGCATGTATCTGCTCGGGGTGCCTGGCCTTGTTGTGGACTGCTGGGGTATCAGGGTTGAGAGATTACCATGATTACCCACCTGTTTCTGCAGATAACACCGTCGCCAATGAGTTTCCTGCCAAAGTTGGCATCATAAGTCTCAGACTCCACTGTTGACGTGCCTTCCAGAATGCCTTCAAGCTGGCTAGTAAAGTAGATACTCCAGGGCATGTGCACTGCCGCACCTTGCTCAGCAGTAGTTCATGAGTAGAGTTGAACCTTGACTTGAAAAGGGTGCTTGCAGATCGTGGCATGATGCACACCTGACTGTTCATTTCATTGCCGACATGCATCAACGCCTCTTCATAAAGTAGGGATGCTCATTGTACTCTTGTCGTCTTGCATACTGCCCTGGGATATGTTCACTGTCACTGAAGGTGATCACGCGTACCTTGTTGGGGCAGCATCCAGAGTTTCGCGACGTTCCTTCAGCGATGTTCACGTCATTCCGCTGCTTCTGAGCTTGACTTAACGAGCCTGCTCATGCACTTGCAGGAAGGCACCTGCAAGCAAACGGCGACTATATATATATATATATATATATATGTAACTTATATATATATGTATATATACACTGCATACACTTATATATATATATATATGTATATATGTTTCCGTGTTTGTCTGTAATCCGGTGCAAGGAAAGTGGTAGCTGAGTATGCTTTCCGCCCCGAGTCCCACATGTGACCTGCAATGCGGTCCTCGGATCAGCCAAGCGGGAGCCAAAGATTTAATTCATATTTAAAAGTTCTTCGATTAAGATATCGCCCAGGCCAAACTTAAAAGTGCGACCTCATGCGCCTTTTCCGAGTTGTAAGAGCCTAAGAGTAATTAAGGTGCCCTTCCAGCCCCCTTCGAGCTCTTCCAGCGATGGTGTTTACGGTGGTGAGATTTATTTGTTGTGCTTGGCAGTCGTTTCTGTACGGGGATTACATCATTGCCAAAGTGGCCAACATGTTGTACGGTTGGAATCACGTACGACAACTTGCGTGGTGATTGCGGGTTTATGCACACGGGTACCCCTTGGATGTCAATTGTTGTCAGTATGCAATGCGCGTGCTTCTAAGTTTATTTCGAGTCGCGATGTTAGTCGTTCTTGCAGTGTGCGGTTTATGGTTACATTTTGATCACGGCAAGCATGGACATTAGCGTGAGTACCCGCGGACCTGTTGAGGTGTCACAGATGGCTGCACAGCCTACGACGGAACTCCGCTTATCGCGCGGCTTCGTACTGAAGAAAAGGACCGGTATAAGAAGCCATGATAGCTTTGGGTTGAGGCTGAGGCTATACTTTGGCAACATGTCTACTGCTTGCAAGCTCCGGCTATCTTTGGAGGATCTTGGTGGCGTCATCATGATAGTGTACATTCTTCTTTTCCTTTTCGTCACCATTGGGATCTTCAACCTGATCATGGCCTCTCTGCTGCGGATGAGCGCACGTCCTTTTCTCAATTCCGACTGCAGGGTCTGCAGAGTGTCGACTTGCAATGGTGTTCATGCTGGATCTGACAGAACGAGCGGCTGGTAGGATTCCCGTTTTTGGGGGCCCTCTGTCGAAGTCAAAGCTCTTGATATGCGCTCGTCCCTTAAAGCTTCTTCGTAATGGTTTCGAGTTCCGAGGGTGTTGTCGGGGGCCTTCGCTTCCGGGGGCCTTCGCTTCCATTGCAGCCTGCACATGTGCACCCTGAATCTACGGCAGAGTGACGCTCAGTGTCTGGTTTATGTCATCCATAGCGCAGTTTGGATTCCGGACTTGGCGAAGGCTGTGTTTATCGACAATGTCACGGACGGCAGTACCAAGAAGCGGCAGCGACAATTGGGTGCGAAGCTTTGCTTCATGGAGTCTTGAATTTTCATGTATATAAGTGGAGTTCACCAGTTCGTATTGGCAGCTGCGCACCGCATCACAAGCATGTGGCAGTTGATCCGAAATCTGAAACGAACAGGCTTTTTCAATCCTGTGCTGTAGTCGGTAGTATTCCGTGGCCCAAGCACGATGATAGTTTCCGGAAGTCGCCTGTGAGGGTTGCGATGGAGCCTTGCAGGAATGCACCGAAAACAGAATGGCTAATTTCCTCGGTTCTGCGAAGCTCAGCTGCACGAAGAGAGCGCCTGGGGGTTTTATAGTGTCCTCATGCGGCGAAGTTGCCACAGTGGGTATATGAAGGGATTCTTCCGAAGCCCTGAAAGGAAACCAGAGTTGCGAGTAAAGCGTGCGCAGGCAACATCATTCTGACCAAGATCCTGCACAAGGAAGCTGAGGAGGAGGCCTTGAAAGTTGCAGCACGTGCACCGAAAGGCAGAAGCGGTCACATGAAGCTGTTCTCGATGGATACGAATCCGTTGTTGCGATGGTATGAATACTCGCCAATCCCATGTTGAGCAACAGACACTCAACAGCCAAAGTTTGTTTGTTAGCTGTAGCATGGAGCTGGCCTTGCCCAGGCCCAGGGATGTGGCTGTCTTAGATTTTCCAGGCTTGGAATGGCGACTATCATGCCCATGGTCGCCGGCCATCGAAAATCCTCAAGGAGAAGCTGGCGGCGCTTCAAGAGATGTAACTCCCCAAAATAGATTGTCAGGCCGATGATACGATGCATTCAAAGACTGATCCAAGTCTTTGCACTGAGTGGGTTGACAATGTGAAGACGAGGTATGGATACAAGCCACATACTATTCACGAGTACGAGCAGCTGTCGAATGAGATCCGCAAGGAGATGGGGCGGCGCAACTCGGCCGCAAACGAAACTCGGTGCCGAACCCAAGAACTTTTGAATGCCCCATGACAACGACTTACTCGAGCCAGGCAATGTGGTGGTGACGCGCGAGGAGTTCAACCATTGGCTCTCAGGTGAAAAGGAGCTCATCACCACCTTGGATGACTCCGAGCGGCTCGGCTGCAGAACGGCAGAGTCCACCGCGCTTGGCCCTGCAATCTCGTGTATGCAGCGGCTAGCAGCTAGCATGTTCGGGCAAGTTGGAATTGGGAGGATCGATTTATCATGCAAGTCCGACCTGTTCGATGTCCTGGATGCGGACCTCAGTGGAGAATTGGAGTTTGAGGAGCCTTGCAGCTATACCAAATTATCGGAGTTCAAGCCTCGTGCAGCCTTGACCTGACGTCGTCTCCCTTGAAAGCTTGTAAATTTATTCGATGTAGGGGGTGGTTTCAAGAAGACATGCTTTTGCTCGAACCATCAAAGCCAGTTCATATCAATCCTGCAGTATCACAGCAGTCGAGGATGTGGAGACTTCAATACACTACTCAATTTTCCGAAAGAGCGGAGTGCAGGATTCGGGCAGCTTCCCGAGGTAGTATTCATTCCGACTACAGCCTCGATTTCTTGTTTTTGAAGCGCACCTTTTGTTAGTACAAAAAACGTTTCGGGATTTGAGGGTATCGTGGATTTCTTAACCCAAATGTCTGAAATCTGAAACGGCAGCAAATACAACCAATTCACGAAATGAGAACACGGGAGGGTTCGAGCCCGCAGCACCTCCTATCCCAGCTCATGTGCTTATCCACTCGGGCGTGGCAGCCTTCAGACAGAAGTCGCCACTCAATTTCACATCTTTGGTAGGTTTTTCAGCCATGCCCGCGTCGATCAGCACATGAGCTGGAATGGAAAGTCCTGTGGGCTCGAATCCACCTGTGCTCTCATTTCTTGGTTTCCTTTGTCAGGGTTTGGCGCCGAGCTTTGGGAATACGAAATCTACTCTCTTTGTTTCTTGGTTTACTTTTTTGCGAGAACAAGACCAACGAAAACAAAATCAGAAAGAGCAAAGCAAGAAATTGGCACGCCGAGTCCAGGGTACCCTGGATTTCTTATTTTGAATGCGCGCATTTTATGTATGTATATTTTTGTCGCACGGCTGTCCGAGGGGCTCAGTTTCTCAAACCAATGATTTCTTAAGCGGTGCTGGTGATGTAGCTCACTGAGATGTGTCGACGGATGCAGGAGATGATAGACGGATTGCTCAAGTGCCGTGGTCCTGCTTCTAAAACGGACATCATTGCCGCCCCTTGGGTTGGAAAATGTTGGAAAGCGTTCACGACATTCAGAATAGGGAGATCTTAACCTCTCGCCCAGGTCAGGCTCAAGACGGCGCTGCTCGTCAAACTGATGACGCAGGTTTGCGAAAAGCTTGGAATCGACACGTGAACCCTTGGCGAGCCTCATGCGTGACCAGGATTGATTTGAATTGGATTCGCTTGTTGTCTTTTGCCATGCTGCTTGCGCTGCTTGTGCCGTTAGCCCAGGCATACTGAGTTCTCTGTGTATGAAACGAACATCATTGATTGGCCAAAGCTGCGAGGCGTACCCTTGACGCTAGGCTTGTTTTCCCGTGCGGCTCCGGCCTGCTAAGCAGGCAAGACCGCAATGAGCTCTTTTTATCAACACAGTGCAGAGCCAGCCGAAAGGCCATACGACTGTAAATGATTGGGATCAAGCATTCAGCTTTCGATTCCTTGATGCAATACCGGATGGTTGGATCATGGCCTGGGGCCTATTGGCTTTGCTGTGCGACGAACGACGCAGAACCTTTCCAGCAGGAGTGGCATGCATTTTGTTTGCGCAAGTGGCCTGATGATAGAGCCTGGTGGCTGATGCAACACACCGTCAAACGGTCCACCCTGCTGGCACATCTAGAGCTTGGCTTCTTATGCCTCCGGCTGGATGCCTTTCAAGCTGATAGTTCCTTTCTGAGCAAACACAACATTTAGAATCCGGAACTCATCGCAAGCAGGAGGCTTGAAACGGATCTTGCCCGCTCCCGAGCGCTCGATGTGAGGACCTCTGGCTTTACGAGCTTTGCTCGGAGAGCCCGAGTCTTCCAATAGTTGTCACCTATGCAAGGCTTATCCAGAACGTGCATACTGATGCATCTCTGAAGTGGGAGACTTGAAGAGCATCCTGGAGCTCGAATGAAAAGTCTTCTGGCATCTGAGCCTATACGAACATACTCTTCCACTTCAACTCACTTGAATAGGACAAGCAGGCGACCAGCCGGCTCTTGCAAGATTTATGCAGAATTCTGGTTCTGGGGAGCAGAGGAGAATGGCCGCTGGGTGGCTTCCCTCGGACTCTAGACAGATGCAAGTTCCGTCATCAAAGCGCGTCTCATTCTTCTCTAAGGGCATGTTCTTGTACTGGGATGGCTTCTTTGCGATGTCTTCGCAGGAGTCTACAAGTGTTGGCTGGAAAGTCTCTGTGGCAACCAAGGCGCTCAGTCGCATCATTAAGCATTATGGCCGGAGTCTGCAGTGGACATCAGCCGTGTCTGGAGCTTACTGTGGTTAGTCTTCAGCTGAGCGGTCTAGATTGCCTTTGAAAATGGGATGTCCGTGGCTATGACCACATTCTCGTCAATGTTGAAACTGCACCCTCCAGAGACCAACTCCGCTACCGATTATGATCAAAGGAAGATGGGAAAGATGAAATAAGTACAGACTCGTTACAGGATCCATCAGTAATTGCAGTGGTAAGTTTTTGTGGAAATAGGGGCACCTGAAAGTTGTTTGAGTTTGCAGACCATGTGGTGACACCAATTGAACTGGACTGAGTGGAGTTGGCACAGCTGACCTCCACAAACTGTCGCTATCTCAGCTGACATTGTCTGCGCTGGCAATTGGTTGATACTGGCAGGGGAGGGGTTAGAAAACCATACATGGATAAACCAAACCAAGAACGAACATGAGTAGTGTCATCCAAGACGATGATGAGTGCAGGACGACCGTTGTTGTGTTCCTCAGGCGGCTGTTTGTTGTTTCATAAATTGTGACCGTCCTTCATTGGCCGGTGTGCCATGGTGTGCCTGAGGTATCTCCTGCAAGAAGCCCGTGCTCGCAATTGGCAACCGTGCCTGGGCTAGTGGCAGGATGTTGTGAAGGTCAATTTGACAGCCGTGTCATCCTTGAATGTGCTGAAGACGCAAGTGAGACACTGCTGGGTGCTTCCAGCTTCCCGCTGAGGAACTGTTTCGTCCACGGGGCAGCCATAAGCGCTTGTGCTCATGCAGGGCGCTGGGAGCAGGCCCCAGCCTGACAGGGGAATAGCCAGGGCGTCAAATTTCGTACCACCTCTGTCACCAACTGTGAGCTTGCCACTAGGCTGTGCAGCTGCTGGCCGATCTGCGGGAAGACCGGTTGGATTCAAATATCATTCTCGTCAGCGCGGCAATCAGTGCTTGTTCTCACGCCGGGTGCTGGGAACAGGCCGGGCTTCAACGTTGATCAACATGTTTTCTTGCAGGAGTCTTGATAAGATCAACGAAGGATCAGGGGGAGCGTTCAACCTGCGAAGGTATAATGCAGAAAACATACTTCCCCACTATGCCAGTACGGGTAGAACATCTTCTGCTGCGTTGTTGTGGGTCCAGGCCGTGCAGCTTCTGGCCGGTCTGGGGGAAGACCGGCTGGATGCAAACATCATTCTCGTTTCCGCTGCCGTCAGCGCCTGTGAGAAAGGCGCTCACATGAGGGGCTGGGGCCGGGGCAGATTCGCCGCGTGGAAAGACTGGACTGGTGCTGTTGCCATCGGATGACGCTTTTGCTATTGAGCTGGATGCCTGGATGCTGCCGCTGTTGCTGTCTCTGAGATTAATTAGCCAACACCTGTAGAGCGGAGTTAGCAATGTCAGCTCCTGAGATCGCTTGGAGCAGGCGGGGCTTGGCAGACCGCTTTGCAATTACTCGGGGACCTCACTCGCAGCCGCATCGATGCTGCCGCTAGACTGTCTTGGAAATGCATGAGTCAATGAGGGCTCGCTCGTTTCACGGTAGATGCAAGTTCCAAAGAAAGGAAGAGTGAGGGATCATGCAACAAACAGTGGAGACAGTGGAGCACTTATGCTTAGATGACATAGTAGACCAGCTTGCTGCAGCCTGCTCTCTCAAATCGTGGCAGCGTGGCCCACATCCGAGGATGTCATCATCACAAACGCTGCAATCAGTGCCTGTGAGAAGGGCGAGCAGTGGACTCAGGCGTGGGGACGGCTTGGGTTGGCAGAGAGGACATGCACACCTGAAGTTCGTGATTCTTGAGTGTCTGAGCTGAGCGGTTCGATTGCAGGCCCTGTCGCTCCTGGCTGGCCTGGACACGGCTCGACTTGAAGCAGATGCCCCTGGGTTTGGAGCGGATGCCACTCCCTTGTAGATTTTGCCGCTGAACATTATCACGCAGACTTTCTACAATGTCCGGAATACGCTTTCCGAGGTGATCTCCTACAATGCTGCAATCAGCGCTTGTGGAAGATGTGAGTTCTTTGGCACAAGAAGCCTTGAATCGTAGTTCGTGTACTCGGAGCCTTCATTTGCCTCGCAAAGGAAATGGAGTTTGGCTGTTGGGCTACTGTCCGACCTGCGGGAATGCCGTTTGCAGGAGCATTGCTTGCTAGACTTGCCCAGCTCGCAGCATTCGACGCACGTGAACTCAGCAGATGTTGCAGATTGCCTGCTGAGACGCGGTGGCTAGATGCTCAAAGTCTCTAAAGTGTCAATTTCAACTCGGTTCGCAGGCAAGCACGATCACCTGCAACGCCGTCATCAGCAGGAATCTCAGATGCTAGCTGAATGAAGTAGCACCGGACTACTGCTTCGTTGCTCCTGCATACTACTCATATCCTCCCCCCAGCACCGTGTTTGCAGCTTTTCTCTCGGCCTCGGACAGTCACTGGTGGCAGGTGCTTGTGGGCAAAGCCAGGAATGGCAGCGGGCGATGAACTTCTTGCAAGATGTGAAGGACTCATGTCGCGCCACGGTAGCCGTTCTATCGGACGTAGCTGCGAGTTCCAGCGCCGAGTAATGTTACACCAGAGGAACAGAGGTTGGAAGCCAGCACTGTAACAATGAGTGCTGCCATCTCTGCTTGCGAAGCAGGCAGGGCACAGGTGTGAAGTTAGGCCGAGACCTTACTCTCAAAGCTGGAGGTGGACAGTGGACGATTGCTTTGCAGCTTCTCGAAGATATAACCAGCTCCAGGCTTGAAGCTAACATCGTGGCTTGACAGCATGTGTCTCCACCGATCTTGAGATACTGATCATGCCCCATGGCGAGATTGTTTTTGTAAGGTCGCGTACAACGCAGCCGTCAGCGCCTGTGGCATAGCTGGTCAGTGGGAGCAATCCTTATCTTTTCTCGGCCTCCTGCCGCAGCGCTCTCTGCAGCCAGATATCTACACCTACTCGGCGGTCGCCAGGCAGAATGGCCGAATGCAAAAGCAAGAAGCCAGATGCCTTGCAAAAACAGTCAACAGAGAGTCAAGTGCCAACATCACAGTTCGTGTTGAATGTGGTTGTTACAAGCACAGGCAGCACAGGGCAGCTGTTGCATAAGCCGAGGTCATCAGTGCCTTTAGCGATGGCGAGCACTGGGATCCGCAATGGGAGCAGGCAAGAGCTTGAATTCCCTTCTTGTTCGTCGGTCGGTCCATGGGCCAGCGAAAGATCAACACTCTTCTCAAAACCAGCCATGTTTACATGGTGCATACTCTCGCTGATCGCTTATGTCCTGGAGTTTTGTCGAGTGGCCATTGAAAAAACTCGAACTCTGCACGGCCCAGTTTCGGTACATAGCCAGGCTATCATGCCTCGAGACTGTGTTGTCTTCCTACTATACATCTTCCAACCATATCTTTGCCTGCCGCGGCCGTCAAACAAGATGGGCACTGGAGCTGTATCATGCTGTATCATTGTTTAGGCATGTTGGAATTCGAGGCCCTTCATCTCTTCGACGAGCTGTCAGAACTCAAGCTGCTTCCCAACATCGTCACCTTCGGCGCGACCGTGACAGCTTGCGAGAAAGGTGTGGTGCTGCATGTTCACAGGCTGATGTCGTGCTAGACCCTACATTGATTTGCGCAGTGCTCATGGTGCAACGTTGGACAGCCGCCAGATCATTAACAGTGTCAGTGTAGCAAGATGAATCAAGCACGCACACTTTGTTGAGCCTCTCCATCTCCTGCCGCCGGATTCAAACCAAGAGTGGTTTTCCCCGTGGAAATGCGCGAACGAAGTCAAAACCATGGCAGACAGGAGGGGGCCAGCAATTCAGCTTATGGTGGTGTTGGTTAGCAGAGTTACCTCCGCCACATCGTCCGATCCAACCTATGCGGCCATTGTGCTGAACAAAGATGAACTCGCCATGCCACTGGAGCTTTCCGTCATTCCAACACCGAAGGAGCTGAAGAGTGCGATCGCTTCCCTACCACCATCACAACAGGCGTTTGCCAAAGCCCTCCGTGCAACTAGCATAGCACTTTCATCTTGCAGGGTTCATGGCATTCCAGGGTTCGTGCAATGAGTCTATATAGGCCTAGTGGCTGCCTGCTTCAGATCTCGTCTTCAGAGAAGCAGCGTGCGCACAAAAGTCCAGAATGGGAAATCTAAGATGGCTGACCCTCAAAAAGCAGACTTTTTGGGCATTTTTTTGGTAACCCGACCCCCTTCCGGGCAGGTATGGGAGAAAGCACCAAAAACAACTGCTTTCGAGTTTCTTCTCCCCGCTGGATTCCGAACGCAATATGTTTTTCTCTGTATGGGCAAAGTCTGAAGCAAGTGCGGACTGTGAACATCAGTGGGAATCAAGGCGCAAACAAGCGGCCTTGATTCGCTGAACATGTGACAGAAGCACACGATGACCGCAGAATGCGGCCCACGGTTTTCCACTCGAGAGCGTCCAACAATTTTGGGGTCTGTTACACGCTGCTCTTCTGCACTCGCTGAACCCCGAACTCTACACTAGTGTTGGCCTTCCGCACACTTCATTTACATTTGTTTGCCAACTATCTAAGACTTTGAGGATTTCCAGACATGACAGAACAGCGGACTTGTAGACAACATGCCTTGGGACAGCTATTTTGGGGAACTTTTGAGACAGATTCTGTGGGAGTGGCATGTCCGTGCAACTGATTGGTGGTCAAAGTATCTTACTGTAGTGAAAATATAGGTTGAAAGGAACATCAAATGGTTCATGTGCAAGGTGGCCAATGGCAAGCTGCACTTTGCTTGCTTGAGGACGTGTGGGTGCAAGCAGACATCCAAGTTCTCATACGGCATTCAAGTCTCCTCAATGATGCCGCACATGACGCATCCTCCAAAACTTCGGATCTGAAGCCAAACGTCTTCATGCGGGGAATGGCGTAGAAGTCCACAAAAATGCTGAACATCAGCAGCCGCTTGGCAGGACCTTTCCTCTCGCCGGATTCCGCTGAATGTGTTGACATGCAATGCAGCCATTTCTGCCTGCGAGAAGGGCATCTCAGCTGGCTTGGTAAACGGCACCGGGTTTTTGTAGAATTGGCTCCCCTGCAGCCCCCCCAATCCTGCAATCAGCTTGCTTGGGTCGTGTTTGAGGTAGGCAGTGGCAGCGTGCGCTGGGACTTCTGGACGAGCTTCGCCGAAGCGGAGACCGAGCAGATGTGAAGCCCCGCTTCATTATCAGAAGTTGCCTGGTTTCATCCACGCTGGCCGTGAAGCAATCGGAGGCACATTACCACTGAATCCGAGGATTTCTTTCAGTGCTGCCATCAGGGCCTGTGAAGATGACGCACACTGGCAGCAAGCGCTGTGCCTCTTCGAGGACATTTGCCGGCATGAAACAGAGCTGTTCTCGCATATGCTGTCCTTTGCAAGCACCCGACAGATTTCCTTCGTAGAATCCCAACAACGCAGTCATAGTGAAGTAAGACCAAGCATCTGGTCGATACTTCTTGCCAGGAGATGAGGTTGCAACAGTTGCCAGCGAATTCGATCACGTACTGCGAGACTATCGATGCTTGCGCGCCTTGGTAATACACGGAGACGTTCTCTGCGTCACCAGGTCTTTTGTTCGTTGCATGTGTTCTGTCGGTCTGAGAGGCTTGCCTCGGATTCAGCGCATCTATAAAGATCCATAAAGTGCTATAAAGGTTGGCCCTTTGGCCTTAGGCACCATGGAGAGACTCAGAACACGACAAAGTCCACATGCACCCGCCTCAGGTTAAAAGTCTGCAGTTCGAGCACTCTGCACGAGCCGTGTCTGCAGATGCCTTTCGTTGAGTCCGTCCCATCTAACCGCGGGTGGGACGATTTCGAGCATCACGCTCCACTGAGAGAGCTTGAGCGAGGCGAGAATCGACTCGGGGTTGGTGAGGTTTGCAAGGCCAAGTACGGTCTGTAAATGTGTGATACAGTAGTTCGGGCATTCATCCTGCAATCTGCCACAAGTCGCACAGATATGGACACTGGGTGTAGCCTGTCTCTCGCAAGCCTCAGCAGAGCAGGTCTCCTTATATTGTCGTGCTGAGGCCTGCTGGGAGATTGTGAACTTTACGCCGTGGATACGGCTGATGTTGCAAAAAGTTGTTGAGGCAAAAAGTCAGTGCTGCATGACCCTTGCAGCACAGCTTGTGCAAGACGAGTTTGTTGAAGACCGTTGTGCCGCCGAGGCAAGAAACCCAGGCCGCCGATGCATTCCGGTTGCAGGGTTGTTGTTGCAATCCACGAGACAATGCCTGGATTGTGTGTGTGCACTGCTGGAAATTGCCAACATGTTCTGGAAACGGCCCTGCATGCTTGTAAAATCGTTGCATGATTCGTGCGATGATCAATGACGACTGTTCCCTGCGCATCCAAACCTCAGCACCGATGCGTGTCTTGGCCCAAAGTTGCTCGTTCATCGCCCATGCGACCCGAACGCAGCTGAAAAAGGCGAGGCCGTGGGTTTGTACATCCGCGTGCCGCACTAAGTGACGTGTACGTGGCCTAAGAAGAACCTTTGTACCAGCTCGAGCTGGTGTGCTCGGGCAGTGCTCTCAAATCCGATGTTTAGCCAACTTTTGCGGAGGGGATCCTGATGCTTGCAGCCCCTATGTCCTTGTCAATGAAGATCGCGGTGCCCTCAATGACTGGCACTGGAACCAGCTTGAGTTCTGACATCTCAATCTCATGCTAACTTGAATACAAGCCACGGCATGTAAGTGGCTGAGGCTGCTTTTGCCCTCTACATCTCCACTTCCCAGGCCCACACAGCCGAGAAGCGGAACTTGGATTTGTTGCCTTGGACTGGTGCATGTCTGTGTTAGCTGACACGGCGCAAGTATGTGGCTCGCAATGGAAGCGACTAAAAATTCTGTGCAAAGCCGAAGTTAGACTTCCCTTGCTACATCAGCAACAAGGGTTGATCTCCCCTCACAGCCGATATGCATCTTCCTAGTCACCGAGGGCTTGAGGATTCAAGGTCCACGCTTCTTGCCGGAGTTTCGGTGTACTGTATATATTATATATTTCATGCGTGTGATAGTCCTGGCAATCCGAAGATGCCAGGCCTTGAAGGCTGGACTTCTGTCATCCTCTGGCAACTTGCTGCGAACATCAGGCTGCTAAGTATGGGACTGGGAGTTTCTCTCGCATGCCCGGACAACCACATTCAAAAAGCATCATGGCACATCGGGTTCTGACCAAGTCGATTGGCCCTCGAATAAACTCGGCTCTAGCTCGACTTGTACGCTGAGCTGCTAAGGTATTGAGGCGCAGGAGGCGCAGATGCGGAAGAGTGCCTGGATGGGGCTCTTGATGAATCCAGTTGCCTGTTCAGAGATGTGATTTTGACGATGCTGTAGTGCCCCGGCACTTGGTGGCGTGACGCGTAAGTTGGAGTGCTCGCAGATGCCGTAGCTCCGAGCATGCGCGGTACTTACATTGTGACCTTTTTACATACTTGAGATACGCAATCATGCTGAATTTGTGTCCTGGACAGAGTCTCAGAATGTCGGACTGTTTGCTGCAGCTTTCCTTCGAAGATTCGCGAAGCTGCCCGTCTAGGAGATACAGGACCTGGCGCGTGGGGTCCCACCTACGGCACCTCGAAGACCCCGGAAGCAAGTTACTGCATCAAACGCAGGCTGCAGCCTTCGAACTGGGCGACTGCTCGGCACATGTTTGCAGTTCTTGCCTCAGCGCTGGGGCCAACATTCGCAGTCCGTTGACGGGAGTCATGTAGATCGTGGCAAGAGCGCCCTATCGTGTGTTGACAACTCAGGCGACGGCTGGGTGCCGAAGAGCGACCACCACGAACTGGAAGGCGTGCTCAAGCCTTCGGCTATGTCGTCGTACTCGTGGGTGATTTACAACAGGACATTCCAACCCAGAAATTGCGAAGTAGAAGGGGTTCTTCCGCATCCATCCACTAGCGTCACTAGCTTAAAGTACTCTCCTGTATTTCGTCCAAGCAGTCAGTCGATTCCAGATTTAATGTGCGTTGTCTTTATGGCATGCGCAGAAGACATACAGGCTCCAACGATGCGCAGTGCTGCGAGAAGACCTGCGAACTGTGGACCTGTGGTCCTGGCTATGCGGCTCTTCTGAAGCGAGCTTGCTGCATGCCATCACTGACCGCTTGCCGAGTTTACAAGGGTGTGGAACGCCAGGCCTTTGGCCCTGCGATAAACAGCTTGAAAGTCGGTCGGATGCACGTCTGGTGGAGTCCAGTCAGAACATAGGAGCAAAACCGAAGAAGCTGTCTAGACTACACCAATAAAGTCTATCATCATGTGGTTGGCCCGTGAGCGACTCATTCCACGCTCCACGGGAGGGGTTGAAAGCTGCAGAGGGCGCGTCAGTCGAAGCTCCGCCGCAGACGGGTGCTTCACAGCGGGTGTTTTGCATGTTTTGCGGCACGGATACTGCTGACCGCAAGAATGCATGTACGAAGGTCAGGCGTCGAAGCGTGAAGGATCAAAGGTGATCAAAGTGGTGCAGGAGATTGTAGTGCCCGCACTGCTGCATGCCGCGAGAACACTTACTCGCACTGAAGCTCCGAATGGGTTCGTCGCGGTCGTGCTTGTGGAACAGGTGTGCCACGAAGAGTCAGGATCTCGCCCTCCCGCCCGCCCGGGCAAGTGTTGGCTTTAGCAATTTCAGGCCCTGTTAGCAACTGTTTTCGGCAGTGTCAAGTGGGCGGCCAAGCCGCACGAATCCAAACGGCAGTGTGCAACCGGCACCAGCGGCCCAGGATCAGGCGTGTGCATGCACACTATGTGCAGCATACGGTAGCATCAGTTAGTTATAATTAGTTGTGTCCCGAATACGCGCGCAGGATAGGCCCAGCAGTGCATTGCGATCACCGCAACCCTGCGTGGCAAGGTGGGACATGCCAAGTATGCTAAAAATGTGGGCAGCTCGAACGAGCTACCTGGCGAGCATGCACGTGTGTCTGTGTGTGTCTGTCTGTGTGTGTGTGTGTGTGTGTTTGAACGTTAGTTCAGTGGAAGTAATGCAGAATCTTGTTGCCACATGAGGCAGTGCTGCGACAAGACCTGCGCAGGCTTCTCATGCCCAGCCCAGTTCAAGGCTCGCGCGACCGCGTAGACAGGACGGAGCCAGGGGAGGTAGACAGCCCAGCTTGATGCAAGGTCTCCGAGAAAAAGTCCAAAGCTGCTGGGCGCACGGAGGAGGCTTGCTGTGCAGCTACCACCGCTGTGCCCGCGGGTTTGCAACGGAGATTTCTCGTCAAGTGCCAACCGTTCCTGATTTCTTTGGTTTGACCACCCACCTGCCCGCCAACTTGGACATCAGTGAGCAAAAGAAGCGGAGTAAGCAGGACAAGTAAGTCGTCAAGGGCTTTCTAGTGTCGAGGCTCTGTCGTCGTGCGTTTTGTCGCTGGCGGGCGAGCTCGGCCGGGGCGGGGGGTCCGTCCGGCGTTCGCTTGTGAAAAGCCTTTTTCTCAGCTACAGGTCTGGCAATGCTCTTTCATATCTCTTTCACGTGAGCAAGGGGTGAGGCCATCTCTTGCTGTTTGGTCCGTCAGATGACCTGACAACTTGAACTGAAAGGGTGTGTGTCTAGGTGAGAAGGACTCCGGGCTTGGAGTGGGTGCGTGTGTGTGTGTGTGTGGGTGTGTGTGGTGTGTGGGTGTGTGTGTGTGTGTGTGTGCGCGGATGGCTGGGTGGGTGCAGGGGGTTGTTTGGCACGGGGCTAGGGCCAGGGCCATGAGGTTGATCCGGGCAGATGGCCAGGTGCGTGTTGAGGTCAGTGGTATTGCCAGGAGTGTTGCGAGCCGACCTGCTCCAACGTCACCTGCATGCCGAACTACGTCAAAGTGAAAGCCAATGCGGCCACTTCGCCGCGAATTTGATCTTGTTCAGTGGCAGACTGCGCAGCCAACAGATGCGAACTATCAGTAGATAATTCTAGTGGCAGCTGACTGGTTTCTACTGGCATTATGGAACTCGAGCTTTGAACCAAGGACAAACTTTTCGCTGAAGATGATGCACAGAACTTCTGCTGCGAAGCAACATGCGCGACCCACACCTGTGACGAATCGCAGCCTGGCGTCGGTTCTGAAACATGTAAAAATGAGTGGAGCATGGACACCGGAAGTCGCAATTCTGCTAGCCCGCGTTTGGTTGAACTCAGGCAGGGTCTGGCGGTAGATCCAAAGAGTGGCACAGCTGCAGATGGTCGTGGCACGGGATAGTGATAAGGTAGAGGTTGTAGCTGTGGCTCGTGCTAGAACGACGTCCGGGTACTGACTGTGCCTCTTGGCACGAGTAATGCAGCAGCAAAGTAAATGTGGCGTCTGCTCAGATTTGCGGTTCCATCTTGCATACAGCGAGGGTGGTGACAAAGGGTAAATTTGATTGCGCTGCCTTGGTTGACCGAGTAGCAACACTAAGACAGTTGAGAAGGCTCACAAACCTTCATGCTGGGAACAGCGATTACATAGTTTGATGTTGTTTTTTTTGAGGGGGGTTCGGTCTTGTTACGTCTTGTTTTGCAGAACATGGTGCGTGACTGGGAGGGCTTTCAGGTAAGTGTTTGCTTTGAGACTGTGCGTGCGAGCGTGCGTGTGCGTGTATGACTGTATGAGTGTGTGAGTGTGTGTGTGTGTGTGACGTGTGTGTGTGTGTGTGTGTGTGAGAGTGTGTGTGTGGGTGGGTGAGTGACGTGTGTGTGTGTGCACACGGTCCTCGGTCATGGACTTCGGAAGGTCAGCAAACAAATCCAGCTTATTTGCAACTAGAAATCCACCCATGTGGTGCGCCCTACCTTGCAGAAAGTGTCTTTGTCTGTATGTGCGCATGTGTATGTGTACTCCAGACTTTATTTGCTTTGGTGACGCGGCCAACTCGTCGTGAACGCTAGCTGCTTGGCATTGTCGAGAACGGGAGTCGAAATGCCGCACGTCCTTCGGTTCACCCACTTGCAGAAACATTTGCATTCTATTTCAAGTCACGGCCATGCAACGCAGGATCTCACTTTTAGATGGGTATGCTGACAGGTAGGTCGGACGTGCTTTCATATTGTGTCAAGCTGCTCATCTGCGGTGATCATGGAGTCCATCGGTCCGGCCTCGTCCAAGTTGTGGGAAGCTCATCCATCGCCCTATGGTGTACCGTATTACTACAACCCTGTCACGAAAGAGTCGCGCTGGACGATTCCTACTGGCCCGTTGGATCGGGTGGTTCCGGCGGGGATGAGCCAGGGAAAGGAAGTGGTTCCGAAGAGCGCCATGCAGTATGCGGAGGTTCCGGAGGCCGAGGCATGTGACCCACAAGCTGAGGCAGTGGCCCCCTCGCAGCCCGCAAAGAGCGTTTGTTCCGTGTCCAGCTCCTTCAGCTCGGGCTCAGACTCGGAAGCCTCACAGACCCTCACGGCGCAGGAGCGTGCCCAACTGAAGGTGCAGCAGTTCACCCAGATGCTGGAAGAGCTGAACGTGCCAGCATCGGACCGATTTGAAAAGTGGTTGCCACGGCTGGCAGCTGATCTACGCTTCACTGCTGTTCCGAAAGCACAGAGGAAGCCTCTTTTTCAGAAGGTTCTTCACAGGATGGTGGCGGAAAAGCGGGAGGTCGAAGCAAGCACCCGCCGTCACAATCGGCAAGCCCTTGAGGAGCTGCTGTCTGCTGCGGAATCGCAGGGAATCTTTGACAAGGTAACGACTGCAGAAGAGGCCATAGCCAAGATTTCTGCCAACGACCTTGGTCAACATCCTTGTTGGAAAACCACTCCCTTGACAGAAAAGTCGCGCATGACAGAAGCATTGCTTCACAGCATAAACCAGAAGAGAGCTCTTGCAGAAGAGCAATCTGCCCGCGACTTCCGCGCGTTGTTGCACGAGACGTTCTTCAAGCATCCGGATGGCGAGTTGCCGACTTTTGAGGAGGCTCGAAAGATGCTCCGACATGAAACACGCTGGAAGGCGTTGACATCAAAGACGCTTCGCGAGGGTGTGTACAACGAGATGTCAAACGACCGCTCTCTGAAGTTGACAGCTGCCAGAAAAGCCATAGCCGACGAAGAAGACGATGCCGGGCTTGCGAGAATTAGCACAGCTGCATGTATTTCGTACTCATGAGTCAAGCCACTGCCGATAAAGAATCCACAGTCAGTCGTGCTTCATGTCGCAAGGCTTTGAAGATTTCAGGCATCTTATTGTCCGTCTAAGAGTCTAACAGTGAATGCTGCACCTGAGTTCGGGAGCTTAATGTCTGCTCAGGAACTGGCAGAGCATCGCAAGAGGAGCCGAAGAGATGTCGTGGAGCAAGAAGTGCGAGATTTACTTCAAAGGAAGATCCGCAGTCCTTTGGACTTATCCTGGGATGAGGTCCGCCTACTCCTTCAGGAGGAACGCGCCCAGCTGCCCGAGGATGTGGAGGAGGCCTACCTCCACGAGGTCTTCAACAGAGTCTGCGACGAAGACAAACAGCGCCGCGCCGGCGCTTTCTCTTCAGAGCTTCTGCGTTGCGAGGAGTTGGGGCCGGAGCTTTCTTTTGAGGCGGTTTGTGAAAAAGCGGCCTCCTTGTTAGGAGGCGAGCTGCTGAGACCCGTGCCTGAGGCCGAGCTAAGGATCCGTTGGGAGAACTGGCGCCGCCACCGCCTGATAGAAGCTGTGGAGGCCTTCAAACTCTTCCTCCGCCAAAGTGAGCTGCTTGCAACGGCTGCTCGTGATCCAGATGCTGTGCGGGGGGAGGGCGCAAAGTTTCAAGAGCTGTGCGAACAGCTTCAACAGGACAAGCGTTACCTTCGCCTGGAACTTCTGCCCACACAGCGACGAAGACTCATCATATCGCGATTGGAGGAAGTAGCACTGAATTCGAAGCTTGCGTCCCAGGGTGATGACTCGGATGCCGAAGCGTGACGAAAAGTGCGACACAGAAGCTACTGTTTGCCATTCAAGCCTCTAGCCTCTAGATTCTCGCGGTTCGACAAGGAGCAAGAGCAATGAAACATGCTCGTGTACTTGCCCACAAGTTGCCTTCTGCAATGCCGGATCGCACGAGTCTCTTCTAAATGGTCACCACCACGGCTTCAGGAGACGGAGCAAGTTTCTCTGACCCTGCACTCGACGCCTGCAACCGTCATTTCAATTCACAACCACAAGGGCCAACTGACTCAATCCGGCGCAATTCACAGGAAACGGCAAGGCAAGGTGGTCCCAGGCTCAGCCTTATCAAAAGCCCAGCAGCCCTGGCACTCACTTAAGTGCAAAGCCCGAAAGTTACTCCAAGGTAGTAGGACAACCGGACAACCTTGCCGCGCCCAGAACTGCACCTCACCGATGTCAGCGACCAGAAGTGCTGCAGCGCAACATGCAGTGCCTTCTCATCCTGCCCGGACGGCTACGCGGTGCCTGCTTCTAAGGACGCACAGCACTCCACATGTCAAGCTGGGGTACTTGCGCCAGCGAGCTGTAATGAAATGTTTCGGTGCAAAGACTCGCCAGAATCTCAAACCACGGTTGGGTGATATCTATGGAGCTTCCACTTGTTAAGTGATGAGTCAGTGAGTGGCTATATCAGCATGTCTGTCAAAGTTTGATCCTCAGCGCACAGTGTAACGGCATCTGCACCTGCGGACAGGAGAACGCTATTGGAAGCACCAAGCAGGAATGCTGCGAGCCGTTTTCTGGCAGCAAGACAAGGTTTGTCGTCGTTTCTGCTTCAGTGCAATCCATACATACTGTATATCTGTATATCGTGTGAGTCACCCCGCCCCCGGAGTGGGGGTTGAAGCAGCCTTTGCCGCGTCAGGCTTTGCAGCGCCTTCCACTGCAGCCCTGGCTGGAAGCCCGACCCCGTAAAGGCGACAGCGGACAGCGCAGACATGGCAACCATGGCACTCCGATGCGCCATGCTTTTGATTGAACCGAACCTGGACCATCGTTTGTAACGCAACGTTATGCTCGAGGGCTGCTTGAGACACTTTTCTGGGATTTGGGATTTGTGACTAAACAGCAGGAGCAGGCAGTCCGGAACAGAAGCGCATTTTGTTTGCTCATTTTTTCCGCAGTTCCCGGCGCCCCCGGATACCTGCAAAACTGGCGCATATTCCCGCAGAACGTGCGCAGCCGCGCACATATTCCCGCAAACGGGCGCATTTGTTTTTCTGCTCGAACTCAGTGCTGAAACCCAAATAATTGTGTCCAGGTTCCATGTGCGGCAACAGAACTTGTAATTGTAGGGAAGCAACATGAGAAAGTTTTCGCAAACCGAACCGAAACCCCGGGCGAAAATAGAAGACGTCCGAAAAGCACCAATTGTTGAAATATGCACCATTTCCATCAAAAGCATTACGTCTCGAGGTTCCAAGTGCCGCAGATTGTATCGAGACTCCTAAAATCGGTCAGTGGAACGGGATCTTAAACGATAGCGTTAACGATAACCCAAACGATAAGGTTGCAGAACAGTTTTTGGGCTTTGCGAACAGTTGACCATATTTGTATAAACCAGTTCTATTGGATAGCAAAAGGACAGTTGCTTCGCGCAGCGGCTGGTAAAAAAACCAATCCACTTCTGAAGGAATTGCCAGGTTTTTGCCAATGGTCAGATCCATGCAAATGGTACTCGTTCAACAATTGCCTCTGCGGTCCCTGCAGTCCTACGTTCCCGGCGCTCATGCAAATTGCAGTCCTTGCTGTCGCTTGCAGTCCAGTCCTGCGTTCTTCCGGCCGCTGTTTGCAGTCCCCTGCGCTTCTGAGTTCGCGTGGCTCCTGCAGCCTGCGGTCCGCTGCAGTTTTTTGTTTCGAACGAGCCCTGCGTAGCACAATGTTTGGACAGTATCTACTTCGTTGAGATCCTGTCGTGCTTTCCTCGCATCTGTGCCTCTGTGCGGGCTGCCAAGCTGCCCGTGTGCCTAGCACAGTGTTTGGTCAGTATCTACCACGCTCCCATGTGCTTTCCTAAAGCCTGTCTGGGCTACCAAGTTGCTATTGTGCGTACCACAGTGTTTGGTGAGTATCTACCACGCCAACGAGATCCTGTAGTGCTTTCCTCAAGCCTGTTTGGGCTGCCCAGCTGCTACTGTGTTTAACACAGTGTTTCCCACGACATGCTGTAGTGTTTTCCTCAAAACCACTCTGTTTGTGTGCCTGGGCAGCTGCAACCGTAAGACCATTCCCGAAAGCTTCGGCCTTCAGGGTTGCCCTGTGAAGTTGCTGTGAGTGGCCTTGGGCTTGCAAAACGATAGGGAGTAAAATGAAACGATAAGGTTTTTGCAAGGAAAGCAGGCCCGCGACAGGGTTTTCATGCGACCCCATGCACTAGCTGCTTGGCAAGACAGCAGTTGTGAGAGTATGCAGGTGACTGCGCTCCAGCACTCCGATGAGGCGTTTTGACGCGATGCAGCAAACTATTTTGCATGGCTTGAGTGACTAATCACTATTGTCTGGAAGCTCGAAATTCGTCAGGGAATGTTTTGCTTGCCTTGGCTTCTTTTCCATCCTTGAGTGGTTGGGCTGAGACCCCCGGAGCGATCCGCATGCCGATGCGAAACCCTTGGCCAGGCTTGCTGCCAGAAAACCTGCGCCAAGTACAAGTGCGGCAAGGGATGGAAGAAGAAAGCAGGCGTAGCTGCCGCGAGTATGCCGAGTTGCCCTGTAACTGTGAATGCTTCGGCCTCTGTGAAACGTCAGTGAGTTTTTCGAGCCACACGTCAAGCTCGACTTCCTGCCAGGCACGGACGACTTCGACTCTTTGATGAACAGATTTCGTTTCACGCAGCCTTTGCCATTGAAAAGTCGGAAATCCCAATGTGAGTTTCTCTCGGCTGCGGTATCTTCGGTCGAGGTGGGTGTGGATGACTCGACCTGCTGTGAGAAGACCTGCGAGCAATACCAAGACAAGTGTACCGGCGTCCAGGCTGCAGATCACCCAATAAGAGCAAGCGCCAAAAACCCGGTGCTATGCGGCCTATTCGCATTACTCGTATCGTGCGGCAGCCCTCATGCTAAGGCTGCTAAGTGCAAGCTCATTCAGCAGCACATCCGGCCAAATATTGTTTTCGATCAGGGCGTTGATAAGCGTGCAGATCAGAAAGGGAGGTTCTCCATGCCTCCATGCTGGTTGCATATTGAGGTGACTATGCACCAAACCCGGCTCTCAACAACACCGCCGGCAACACTGCGAATGTTTGCTGCAAGAGAGCCCAGGCTTGTTTAGGCAAGCCACATGGGGAGATGGATCATGCCACTTCTTCTGCCACTGAGAAACTTGCGCCCTCTTCTCCTGCAATGCTGGCCAGATCAAGCCGAATGCCAAGGCGGGGTTGCTCAAACCAAGAGAAAAAACAGGCAAACAACGACATCAAGCCTGGCGACGTCGAAATTGCTTGACATTTGTGCCTGTGAGTAGTAGCGTATGTCATGACGTTGGCCAGGAGATCATTGACGAAAGCGAGGATGCTTGCTGCGAAGCTGGTCTTTGGCTCAGTGTGCCGGTTTCAGCTTCCGGCTGCAGTCATCAAGGAACGAGGGCGGATGTTTATTTTGCCAGACTTGCTAGAAGGTGAGGTACGCTGACACACCCAATTGTATTTGGTGGGGGGACGTTTCTGCATCTCTTGTGGCTATGATTGATGGGATGTTCGTCCCTCAGTTCTGTCAGTAGCAGAGTAACTGGTCTATGCAGCAACTAGAAGTATTGAGCTGAGCGTTAAACAGAGCTTGCATGCCCTCGTGCCAGCCGAATGCGCCGTCTTCCGTGGGAAGAAGGTGATCGATGGAGGCTGCAATGGCTTGGACAAGGCACCTGACTGAACAGAAGAGGTCACATCACTCAGAGCACACGGAGAGCCCAAGCTTTCTGGCTCTAACATTCTCTAACCATGTCTTGCAGGAGAAGTGCGCAGCCAGTGCGGGCCCCAGATGGCAGCGGCTTTGTCCGAGAGTTGGGCTGCATTGGGCTGCTTTTTCTCCAGACTCTGGCGCCTTCGGTGCGCGCAGTGTCGAGTTGACGTTTGATCGTTCTTCGGATGAGTACACAGCTGGAGCTCGATTGAAAGGTAGCTCCGTACTTTCGAAGGCAGTTGAACATGACAGCTTACTTCGCGGAAAGTCGCGGATGTTGCGCAGGCAAATTGGAGCTGAAGAATACCGACACCAACAACACCGCACCTCGTTTGCAGCCGCTGAGGCAGTGCTCAAGAGCGAATGAATCATGACTTTTCCCCAGCAAAGGACGAGCTGGCCTGCACCTGGAGGGGCGACTACGGGATTTGCTCCGTCGGTAGACGCCTGAGTTGGTTGATCGCACCCTTTACCAGTTGACAGTATACTCGACCTTCCAGCTGACCCCCATGGCAAAAGTGGGTCCTTTGAATCAGGTCGAGTCCAGAGTCTAGAGTCCATGGCTCCGGGTTCGGGCGTTTCGTATTTGTTGTCTTCCTGCTCGAAGATCAGCACAAGTTCGAGGAAGCGAGAGAAGAAGCTTCGTGAGGAGGTTGTAGTTGACTTTCTGAAAATCCTCGTTGATGCGATTATAGCCCGTGCTTGCACAAGGAGTATGATGCCTGCGCCTGGAGCACAAAGCGTGCGAGCACAGCCAGCACGGCCCGAAAACAACATGTTTACTTCACTTCGACCGAATTTTGAGGCCTCCGATGCGTCCCTTGAGGCATCCCGCCCACTTCAAGTTCAGCTCGGGCTGCACATCGTATAAAGAGCCAAGAGTCCCGACCTCTTCGCGATTCCATCGAAATCTACGGCTGCGTCGGCTCTCCGAATAACAAGAGCAATCCTGATTAAGAAGCACACGGTCATTACAGGAGTTAAGTCGGTTCTTGTGGCGGCCACACAGCTGGAGAGCAGTGTGCGGAAGACAGCAAGTTAAACTTAGCAACAGTTCAAGTAATGCTGGATGATCCGTAGTCTTCCGAACTGGTGCATCGGGCGGCAGAGCAGAAGGCTGACTACTATCACATTTAGAGAATCGTAGCGGAGTTTTGTCAGAAGTTTGATGATGTAGATGTATGGATGTAGCTGACCTTATATCTGTGGTTTCCACGGCCGTAGGCTCGCATGCAAAACTGAAAGCTGGTTTTCCTCATGGCTGGCATTGATCATACAGGAATCAAAGGGCTTTTGCAGCGACATCGCAGAATCCCGCTAACAGAAGGCCACAGTGATTCCAGAAACGAGTTGCAATCGGACGCAGGATACTTCCTGAATCGCGGCATGTTACTATTGCCGACAATGAAGTGACAGGCTTCAGAATGTGCGGCTCATTCCACTGCCCTTTGGTTACAGTCCTCAAGCGAGTTTGCTGAGGTTTAGTTTGTGCTGCCAGCATCTACTTAGAACTCACTGAAGACATCTTAAGACCTCCTAGCATGTGCTGCCTTGATTCAGTGGTGTCGATAGGACACATGACTGAGGTAAGCCAAAGCCGTTGAGCTGCAGCGACTGACCGTGGCTGACCGACCGCAATTTGTAGTCGCAGGAAGAGTCCTGAAAGGGCTCTGCAGCTCGTTGAATACCGAGGCTATCGTGAGGCAAGAAGCCTCCAGGCTTTGCCTGTGTTGCAGGGGAAAAGTTGTGAGGTGCCCGCTGCTTCTGGACATACGTGATGTTACAGGCATGCGCCATGCGCTTCTACTACAGGTTTGTATTGGGCCCGTACAATGCCGTACCAATCCTCAGGGACCTGCTAACCGCAGGAGCCCTCTGAACACAAAGCACGCGCATGAGCTTAGCTTCTCTCGCCTGATGCAGGCGAGCTCGAATGCCAACTTTTCAAGGACAACTTGCATTCAAATGCTTGGACGAGTACCCGATTTCCTAGCGCGGACATTTACAAAACAAATGCGCTTCATGTTCGCGTTGCCGCATCCGATTTTGCTGCTCGGTTCGGCTTTGTGCAGCGTTTTCAATGTCAGGAGCATGCAGAACACCTGCAAGACCTCGTCAGTCAGGGAAAGTTGGATGGAGTTCTTCAGCTGCATGGAAGGTCAATAATGTTAATTAGGACCTACATTGCTTGGTCACAGGCTTGGTCATTGTCCGCAGTTATAGACACGCAAACCGAGAGAGCGAAAGAGCCGAACCACCAGGCACTTGCCGAAACCTTCTTGGCTGATACCGGGGCGAAGCGCGAACCTTGGAAGGTATTGAACAGCAGACCGATTGCAGGACAGGATTATCGAAGTCCAGATCCAATTTGCAGGGCTTTCCGCCTCGACCACGTGTTCAGGACACAGATGAGATGTCAGTCGCATTGCTGGTATTGAGGCTCAAAGAAAGCGCCACAGGTCAACAAAGCAAGTCCTACTTTCCCGATCGAATCGCACGTTTGAGTCCACGCCAAGTGGGACAGCCTTCGTAACACCTGCGTGTGCCCGTCGCTTCGCCAGTCGCGGTCGAAGCTGTGCTCTCGTTGTTCGCAGGAGGCGTCTCCAGAGTGCTTAGCTTAGCTCTTGGCTTTTAAACATTGAAGCAGATGGAAGCCGGATCGCCATGATACAGTGGCTTTGGGCCGGCTTGGCCACAGCCATCATCGGGACGCCAGCCCAAGAGTGTTTCGAGGACTGAATTCTCGGAGCAGAGAGTCGAAGATGAATTTGGAAAAGATGCATTTTGCATCCTTTGATTTGTTGTGGAGGACTCCGTCTTGGAGGCCGGAGCCGATGCTGAAGCACTCCGCCTGCTGCAGGGCCGCGCTGCTCGCAGGTGCTGGGGAAGTGTGCCTTACTCTTTCTCTCTTCCCAATCTGCCGTTGAAGCAATTTGTTGAATACTCCCCAGAAAAATTTACGGAGCGGCAGCAGCCGGTGCCAGGAGCTTCGCAGTGGAATTCGCAGACTCCGCTTTGGCAGCTGCAAGCGCAGATTTCGAGTCCACTGGTTTGCAGCAGATCGGCAGCAGGACTGTGGTTTGGAAACATCGGACATCGTCGGACGGCAATCGCGTCTGGCAAATCTAAACTCTGGTGGTGTCAGTCAGTCAGTCGCGCTTGTGCCCAATCATCGCATCACGTCGTGATGGAAGAAGGCTGGACCTCGCCTGCGGTGCATGTCATCCTCTAGACCTCATGCGATCATGTTGGCGGCTAGCCTTCTACAGTCCTGTAAACGCACGAACTACGTCCCAACAGGAACTGAGACTTGGATAAAGCTGGACGAGTAAGAGCGAGCTGGGAACATGTGGTGCGAAAAAGCAGTGCATGTCTGTAGGCTGTCTTGCAGGAGTACCAGCACGTGTGGCTATGCTTTAGCGCTGCTGATCCTCGCTTCGTTTGCGGGAAACTTGTCTCGATCATGGCATTGGTGCTGCTCAAGCCTTGTCGCAAGACCGGGATGGCACTGCCGATGCTCAGTGCTGGTGCCTCGGACATGTCCTCAGTCTAAGGCATCTGCGTGGAGTGGCTGGCACGGGGCCAGCTTCATCGGACCTTGATTTCCCTGCTCCTCATCGCGGAGTGCCTGACTTCGGCAACGTCTTGTGGCCAAAGTGAGACTAGGAAAAACACAATGCATTTCAAGATGGCCTTTCATCTTCGCATGATACAAGAGCTGCATTCTACACTGGCGTGGCCGAAAGGTGCAGAGCTTGACGTGTGCTGTCTGGACTCAACCTGTTGCTGAAAATGTTCCCTGGCACCCATCGAGAATCGAGGTACACCGTGGTCGTGCCTCTGTCCTATGACCTGGCCACTCATCTGGGGCAGGGAAGCGCCTTTTCCGGGCTCATGGTGTCGGCCCCCTTTGCTGTTTACCTGGCAGGCCTGTGGGGCCTAGGGTCGCAAGTGCCTAGGTGCGTGTGTTGCTGTGAGTAGCATGGCTCCTTTAGCAGGTGCGCTCCGTGCCAGATGGGTGATGATGTCCTGGAACCAGGCAAAAGTCTGTACCTACATCGTTGCTACTTGGCAGAGATGAGAGCTTGATTTGGTGCCAAGTTCATTGAAGTCGGTTTACATCGTATACAGCTGCAGACCTGACGTCTTCGCTTCTCCGTTGCACAGAAACCCCGGCCGGCCGTTGCGTGCAAGGGGGCCTACGCAATCTATGTGATTTCCACCGCGCTCTGTGCCGCTGTTGTCCACCCTCCTGCCTTTCTATTCCTCTCCGGCAATGTGACCTGGCAGAGAGAAACTTTGAATAGCTTTGGGCTTTGTGAATGGTGATGCAGCATTTCTCGTCCCGCAATTGGGTGCCTTGGTCGGGCAACTTACGTAAAAGCATCGAAAGCGAAAAGGCAACTCTTCGCGCCAGCCTGCTACTCGTCCTGCGCACGAGCTACGGCCTCGTCGACAGCGTCGGAGATGTCATGCAGATGAACCTTCGCGTTGAACCAGTATCTGGAGATAGTGGTTGGTTCCTACCTCCTAGAGAAGGGAAGCGTAAGCTTGCACAAGAGGGGTTTGCTCACTATAAGGCCCTGCAAAAGCCAAGTCGAAATCACGGAGAGCCAATCAAGGCTTATGAGGTGTCCTATGAGGTTCACCTAGCGCACCCTCGAGATTGCAATTGAGCCTTCAGGATGGTGGTGAAGGTGAGCCCACAGGAAGAGCTTCGAGCGTCTTTGGATCCACTTAGTTCTTCTGAGGTTGAAGCGGCGTTTTAGTTTGCGGCGGAAGTGTGTTCGACAAAGGGAAGTGGGAAGGAACCGCAGCTTCCCAACTGTGTCTCTCATCTCAGGAACTGATGGTCAGCATTTTTGCCTCCAATGCTCTGGGTTTTGGCCTCGGCCCTTTGCTGAGTGGCGCGATTGGAGCGCCTTTGACGCAGCCCTGGTAAGGTTTCACACACAGCCTGCGAAGACTGTGGGAATCAAGTTGCCTCTCAGGAAGTCGCGCAGGTGTCAGATTTGGAACTCCGCGCTTGCATTCCGCTGATAGCGGGGGCCTCTGGTGTGGCCGCATCCAGTGATGTATGGGATTGCCGGTCATCGCAACCGATGCTTCTGCGTGGCATCAGACATGCAGGAGTTGCCAGCCTGACGGACTGTATGTCCATTCGGTGGCCTTGCCACCAAACCCAGGTATTGGCACTTCTTTGGACGGCACTTCTGCTAGTGGCTGGGCACATCTTAGCACTAGAGACGTGAAAGAAACAGCATGGAAAATGGAGGGTCCACATCGAACAGAACATTCCTCAGAAGCTTCAGAGAATTCAAGATGGCTTGTGCCTTGAGTCTCGCTGTGAAAAGACTAGATGTTTCTAGACTTCACCGATCCACAATGCCCGCTGTGGGCACTTGTCATGATCCGCCTTTCCACAGCATACTGCACCAAGTTGCTTTCACACAGTCCTCCAGAAAAGCAAGTCTGGAGCTGGCGCAGCTCTCCAGAAGTGCCCGCTTCCGTTTCCGTCCCTTCTAGTACACCTCTCTTGAGGCCATTCGCAGCAACCTGCCGCCAGAGCTCTCGGAGGCGGAGACTGGCCTCGGCAGACAGGACACGGCCTGCAACAAAACTTTCTTGCGGAGAAAGGTTTAGTGACATGTAACTGTATATAAAGTTGCATTAAGTGCGTGACTCCTTCAGGCAGTCGAAGACACGACACCTTTTCCCGACGCACAGTTCCACGTAAGTAATCGCTGCCCTTAGGCATCTTGCTTGAGTCTGTACCGGGGCGCAACACTCAACATCGACTATTTACTGTAGAAGCAAGTACGACATGTAGGGAGTCCAAGGAGACTCGTCATCCACGACGAATATAGCCTGCATGAAAGCGGTGCTTCGGCTTGTGGTAGAGTATCGTGGCTACATCGACGTGAACTGTGCGCTCGGCATGCTCGTGGACGTTTGCGCCCCATCTTGACATTTGACCCGGCCGGCATGTCCTCAGCTGCTCGACAACTGAGCTGCTTTCGTGACATGGTCGTGTGCTTGTGCATGCAGTGAAAGCATTGTTCAAAAAACACCCATCGAGTTAAACTCCACATCCGGGAAACTTCAGCTTTCATTACATTTGGGGCCTTGGAGTCCTTGGCCGAGCTATGGCCTTCCGCAGAGCCATTGGCGCCCAAATCCTCAGAGCTTTGCCAAGAGGCATTGGCTCCTTGAAGCCTGGGATCAGTCTTTCAACGCCTTTTTACGCTTGAAGCCCATTGACGTGGCAAGTGCAGCGGAGGCAAGATGCGCCATGCCGCAGGGCCGGATGCCCCGCAGCGCGCGGCTGCAGGATCGTCGAGATTGGGGATTGCGCCCGCAGCATTCTGCAGCCCCAGCCCGTGACTCAAAAAAGACTCTAGGCAACCCTGAATTGACACCGATTGCCTGGCGTCCCCGTGATGTCCCACGCTTGTATAACGGGGCTGCGCTTCAGTGAGGCAGTGTCAGTGAGGCAGCCGGTCTTGTTGCTTAAGCCCAACCCACATTTCAAGCCTTCAGACCTGCAGGAGCCGGTTTACCCCCCTGGCGTGGAGGCCTCTTCCAACTGCACATGCAGTAGTAGCTATTGTCACCTCGCATTCCATCAAGCATGAAGCGGGGCAACTGCCCTGCCCTTGGAGTGCTGCTCGTGGGAAGGAAGATATCGGGAAACAGCAGAGCTGACTACAATTGGTATCACCAACACCTACGAAGGTTGGCACGACATGGTGCAGTACCACTTCTTTTTTGAAGACATGTTCGTCCAGGCGGGAGGGTGGGCTCCGGCTACTTGTTGTGCAGCGTGCCTTCGAAGTTCCCCACCGTTGCTAGATTTAGAATCCAAGTCGAAGATGACCGTTGCCTTGCTCTTGTGCAAAGGCACGAGCCTTCCTGACACCCAGTGTTGAAGAGCATTCTCTCTGGATCTTCGATCATAACCAGCAGAAGGTGCAGGAGCAACCTCGCTGCAAATACTTAATATCCTCGGTTGCATTTGCTCATTGGCTCATTGGTTTCTACGTGAAGCTCTGCAGTTAATTCGACCATGGCTTCTGCAAGGCTAAGTAAGAGTTAGAGGTGACCGCAAACAGTTCCGGGTCGGGTCACTGATATGCCCAGATGTTTTCCAGATAGATGGCATTGGAGTTGCTCGAACTGCAGACTGTCGGCTCCTAAGGCTGGAAAATTGCAGCCAGCCCCTGCAGCAAGCCGAGGTGAGAATAGCAACCATAATAGATGCGATGACTTCGCTTACCACCTTGCATCGAGGTGGACTATCTTCATGTCTCCGGGCCCCGGATGCAGATTGAAGACGGTGATGGTGGCGGGCGAGTGTCACTGGACAGGGAGGAGTCTTGACATAACTACGTCTTAGACACCACTGGACGGTTTGTCCGGCAGACCTTTCTTCCAAACTAATCAGGCAGGTCGTGCCGGAGCGTTTGGGATGAGGTTGGGGCATTCACGATACACATCTGAGTCTGCAGGAGCTCGTCGTGGACTTCAAATCTCGCAATGCTGCTTGCCTCCACGCAGGAGATGTTGAAGCATAAACAGGGAACGGTGCAGACGGAAGCGGACGGTTTTGGTCATGCACTGCACATGGTTTCGTTACTTCAATCTGCTTGAGCTCCAGTCTTGCCGCGTGTAACTCGTCAAGCCGCCGACTTCAACTTCAGCTCGTAGATTTGTCGTGCAGGCAGAGACCTGCAATGTGAACTGCTTGTGCCGTGTAGTGCCTTCGATCCTCCCTATCTCCACCTTCACTCAAAGCATACGCTCACGGGCGCAGGTTTTCTCTTGGCTTCCTGCCGGCCAACAGGACGATGCAGTCATTCATCGGCCCGACCTAGAGATCACCATGAAGCAGCTGAGCCGCTGAGAAGTCAGGGATCATGCAAGCCTGACAGGTCATCGACCTCCAGCGCTAATGTTGCCCATGTTTTTGCACCTCCAGGCATGGTGGCCGTACGCGAGTTGGTCGAGGGTTGCTTGATTGCAGTTGCTGCTGTCTTCAGTTTGGACGCCCACCGAAGTCGCATCGCCATGGTCTCTCAGGTATTCAAAGAGGTATTTCGGACATTACGGTCCTCACTGGGGCTGCTCAGCTGAAGCATAATTAGAACGCCGCTGATCAGCAGAAGAACATGCAGACGGCCAGCTTTGCCTGGCTCCGCGGTGTTTTTGCAGAGGCTACCGCTTCATTCAGAGCAGTTGGCTCAGCGGTGGGAAGTTCCTATGGAGCCTCGGCAAATCATGACGAAAGCAGTTTGTTGGTGCCCTCCTCCTGCCCTACGCTAAAGCCATGGTTTTGTCTTTTTTGAACAACGCGAACCGTGTGCAACAGTCTGCGTGGGAGGACTGCGGATGCGACCTTCCGTTTGGGAGATGGCGAGGACCGCAACGTAGGCATGATTCTTTTCTACATTTCCTCCTTGGGTGGTCTGACAGGCTAAGTACAACTACTTCAAACTTTTGGATGGCGACACGAACGAGTTGGTGCAGGCAGACAGCCGGGACACCTACCAGCAGGACACCTTTCTTGAGGGCCTTTGATCCCAACCCCCAGGCCAGCTTGCCAGTTCGAGCAAAAGCACCATTATCTCGGAAACCCATTCGAAGATGACTCTGCGCTTGGAAGTAGCCTTTTCAGGACACCGAGGCGCATGCTTGGATCGGCGGGGAGCGATATGCTGCTGAGCAGAAAGTGCTTTCTGCTGTCTGTGTTGGGGCAGCAAGAGGACATGCAAGCTCAGGTTGCCAGCATCACTCCGCTCGGGGAGTGGTTGCACGACTACAAGAAGGGTGACACAAACAGCCGCATGCAACTGCGGCAGCTTTGCAGCATCCAGAAATTGTAGGAAGCACGTGAAGGACGGATGATGCACTATGCATCTGTCATGCATACCGAATGCTAGGAGTTCACTCTGAGTGCTGACAGTGCGAGTTGTCGGGTGCTCTTACTTCGGAAAGGCGTACTCGCGAGCGCATGAGGAAATCTTCCAGTTTATAAATCCGCAATCGGCATTTACATGATGTACATGAGCTTCGTGGTGTTGGTATCTTGGCACGCTCTCTGTGTCAAGTTCGGGAAGGCATCGGAATTCGTCCCCGTCCGTGTGCCAACAAGCCGGTTTGTTCCACGCCGATTTCTGCGGACGGCCGCTATTGATCAAGCTTCCACTGATTCCACTGCAGTGTTTGCCGTTCAGGGGACATGTGTGCCATGCCCTTTCTAGCCACAAATTTCGAAGGATCAATGATTGATCCCTAGACAGGGTACTGTCTTGAGGCCACTACGGAACCAGATGAGTGGTGATTTTGTTTGCCCAATCTCTTGACACGAGTGACTGGAGCAGAGGTCATTAGCAAAAATCGATACTGCTTGACAATTTGGTTTTTGACTTCCGCTCTGGGTAGCCGGATGATGCGTGAGGCCAGAGACCTTGCCAAAATTGTTAAATGCCTCACAGGTCGAACTTGATGTCAATTTTCGCTCTCCTCAGAACGGGCCGCCCTAATTAGCTGTTTTCTCAATCTTCCCACCCTGCGAATTCTCGGACCTCATCTGTCTTCAGTATTAGAGCATACATAAAGTCTTGCACCCACACAGTTCAAGGCATCGATTTCGCGTGCACGTGGTGGCTTTCTTACTATGATTTTGTGTTGCTGCCAGTGTTTTCCGCCTGACTTCGCGAGGTACTGCAGCATCAAACTCCAGCACGGAGATGAGACACTCCAAGGCTATGCATTGAACGAACGATGCTTCGGTGTCCTTGGCTGATGGCCTTCAGACCGCGGCCGTAGACATGAGTTTGTGTGTGCGTTTGCACGGTTTTAGGAATCTCGATCGCCAAAGCGCCACTTGTTGCACATATGCAGGAGCTTTCTAGCCATTCTAGCCCTGCCAACAAGAGATCACGACAGATAGGGCGCGGCTGCCGGGTTCAACCGATGCGGGGAAGTGGTTGAAAGTCTGATATCGAGTGCCTGTTGGCAGCGCGTAGGTGCAAGGAGGCTGTGCTTGCTGAAGCTGGCAATCAAAAAAGGCATCCAGCCTCATGCCGCCTCCGAAGTGCTCCACTATATAGTGAGTGTCCCTTAGCAGGGCTCGCTATTAGCTTAGGTTTTTTTTGGATTGGCCGCAGCTTGGGCTTTCAACACATGACAGCGTTCTGCGAGCCAGCCACCCGCACCAGGATGTAGACGGCGTGGATGACGCAGATCCTGATGATTCCATTTGCGAGTCCGGCGATTTGGCGCTCTCCAGGCACGGCGAACTATGCGTGTACTGTGCCTGTACCAGTTGCGTGCCTGGTTCGAGCGAGCTATCCGTCTTTGGTGCAGGAGAATTATCTTCTGGGCCGGCCTGATCTATGCGTTGATCTGTTCTGCTCTGAGTAGTGGACAGTTGATGCTTGGTGCAGTTGCCGGGAGCATTGCCTGATAAGGTGCTGCTCTCACCTCATCACTGGAGGCGTGAAACAAGACGCAAGTGCAATCATTCAGTCTGTTCCGAACGTCAGGGTTCGATTAGTTGCAGCACACTTTCCGGCCCGAGGAATTGTCAGGAAGCCGTCAGGAATCTATTCTACCATTTCTGCCAGACAGGTTTGAGAGAGCTGAGAGTGTACGGTGTACCGTGTGCCATACGAAGGCACAAACTGCTCTGGTGTTGGAGCGCCAGCTTCACTTCTCTGCACAGTCCATCGGGCAGCTTCTGCAGCAATAGAAGTGTACGCAAAGCTCCAATCAGCAACGTGAGCCTTCTGCCGTCACCATGCATCCTGGGACTATACTCCAAGCCTGGAGAAGAAGCTGCAGAGGAATCCCAGCATCTGCGTGCACGTGGGCGCGTTCTTCTGCACTCTTGCATCTGTCTGAGTGTTTGCTCGAGGCTTCTGCTTGGCAGCGCTTTCTGTGCCACGGCACCGCTCACAGTGGCTTGGCTAAGCTCGCAAGGCATGGTGCTACGTCTCGATCTGCTATTTGTTTCAGCTCCGGCAGACTTGAATTTATCGGACTTGGCCAGGTGATGCTGAGCTGGCTGCCGACTGAGATTGAGAGGCGATTTTCGGCTTGGTATTGTTCGAGAATTTTGGGGGGGTGGAACACTTTATCTCCCCGGTGCTCTCTTCCCCCCGACTGTTGCCTGCGTCTTCGGGGGAGGTCCGCCATTGAAACTTTCGCCTTGCCAGGCCATGGCCCATTTGTGTGGCAGTGCCCCCAATGGTGGCCACGGTAGCTCGGCCTGTCAAGCATGAGTAGTAATTGCAAGATTGATCTGTTCAGCTATCTATTGTCTATCTATTTAACCTATCTGCCTGTCTATCTGAGTAGATGAACGCTAGCATCTAGTAGAGCAGTAAAAGCCTCCAAGTCAAGTCCACATAAAGGAGACGCTATTGAATTGGAGTTGTCGAAGCTGCAGCACCCCTAGCCCGGAACAGGTCTGATGAAGGCGTTTCATTTCATGTGCGAGAGCTACGTGTGAGACAGATCACGGCTTCGTAAGCTTCAAAGGATGCAAAGTTCGTGAACTTCCTGCCGTTTCGAACCCTGTTCGAACCGAACCGGACCAACGCCTCAGAATGCAGATATGCAGTGTTCAGCCTTTCGGAAAGAAATTCGCAGAATGCAAGAAGGGCCCGCAGAGCAAAGGGACGGCGGGGCCACCTGCCTCGCTGGAGGTATGGAGGCTTCCCGGAACGGGAAAGGTGATGCAATGTGATGCAAGTTGAATTGGGGGGAAGCCCGGACAGCCGCAAAAATGGTGTTTCGTCTCACGGTGAGCTTCCGAAGAGCGACGTGCAAACGAAGGCCCTTTGGAAAACAGACAAGACGCTGGCAAGTTTTGCTCCGCTGTTTGAAAGCGAGGTGGTCCAGTCAGGGTTCGAGTAACGACACTGCGAAGCTGCATCAAGGTCTTCCTGTTCAAGGGCACCTGCGTTTTCTTGGGTCTTGGTGAATTTCGACACTGGGCCATGCCGCCAGGCTGCAATGTAAGAAGCAGTCACGTCTTCAGAATGTCGCTGCAGTTTCACGAAGATTTTCTGGTCTCTCGAGGTTGGCGTTTGCTAGGTTCACTGCTTTGCAACATACGTTTGCAGGGGATTGCTTAGCATCATTTAATTATGCCCTTTTGTCACTGATAGTAGAGCGAAGATAGAGTATGATGTTGTAAAGTGGCTCTTTCCTTTCCCGCATGCTCAGTGTCACAGGCTGGCAGCCGATGTGGTGCTATTCTCCGTGGCCCTTTGCGCGAACGGCATTGCTTCTCGATCGTGGAGGAGAGTCCAGGCAAAGCAATGAGCAGTGAGACAACCTCATCTCAGGTAGATGCCACCGCACTTCAACACGCTGGCGGGACTCGTCTCTATTGCATGGGGCTGAGCGATCATCCTCATCATCCTCATCGCATGTTGAGAAGTCCCAGCACCGCGAAGGTCGGGAGAACTACGTCATCGCCGCGGCCACTCTTCGTGCGGTGCCTCGCCTGTCATAGCTTCGAGATTCCACAGGGCCACGAAGTTCTCAGCCTTCTCCTTCCAGGCCGGGAGCTTCCTGGGGCCGCCTGCTGTCCGAATTCTTGCCTTTTCTGGAGAGGACTGCGAAATTAAATCTCGCGGCATGTATCGCATGCAAGCACTGCGCATGCGCACTTGTGCACTCGTCTCAACGGAGCGACATCCTCAGGATGCTGGTGCAGCTGCTTGGATATGCATTTTCTGTCAGGGCTTTCATTGTACTCCTTGTTAGCTGCTTGTTGTTTGGCGAGGGACATCCCAGGGAGCTGTGCTACCCAAAAGTATGACAGCACATCCTGCTATGTGGTACGGGTTTCGGTCCTCGCCTGCGGGCATCTCTAGGCCAACAGAGGACTGACAGAGCAATGTCGAAGATTGTTGTCAACGCCGCGGTGCGTACGACGCTCCAGAAAGGGCAGTCAGTCCTTCCTGGGATCCTCTTCAGTTGAGTTCGTGCGACTTTGTTCAGCTGGGCTGGTGGCAAAAAAGGAGCAGTAATTACCATCGGCCCCATGTTTGGACGCAAAGCATTGGAGATGCCAAGTTCAACTTTTCGTTCCGATCCATATGGGTCATTAGCTGCAGCTTGTGCCGGGTTCGTTTAATTCCCACCCTGTGACCTGGGATTCTCTATGTTTTTCGGCGGATGCTTCTCTCCACTCAATAAGGGCCCTCGACAACTCCACGCACGTGACGTTGAGTTCCGCCTCCTGTTATGTGCAGATTCGTGTATGCTTTGAAATAATCCTGAGTCGAAGAACTTGCACACAGCGGTGGGACTCAGCGGCTATAAAGTCAGACGGGTGTGAGGTTTGGCGTTCACCACACTTCCAGATTCTAGAATATATGTACTTGGTAGAACTGGACTTCGTTGCCCAAAATGCTGGTTTCTCGAAGACCCTCCCGGCCGCCAGGTGAGGGATATGAACACTTGAATGCCTGTTACCAATCATTTCATTGGCCACTCTTTGAATGCAAATGCTGCCTTTTGGGTTGCACCGTGCAGGGAAAATTGCAGTCGTTTTGAGCTGGTTGTCGTGGGCCACTACAGCAGTCTGCACAATGGACGCATGGCGCACAAAAAACTGAAAAAAGAAAACAAAAAGATGAGCCAATGTCTGGAGTGTATCGATTTCGCCTACTATAGGCAACCTGCTCATGGGGACTGTGCTCGAGAGGATGACTTCAGTCGGACAAGGAACATATGATTTCGAGTGAACTTCATCTCTGCTTGGTTGGATATCACGTATTCTTCCACTAAAGACGTGGGCAAACTGCATTAGTGTGGGGAAATACATGGTTTCTGAGCCTGGCTTGCTTTTATGTGACAATGGGGACAATATGGTAGTGCGCCTTTGCTTTTGGTCAAAAGGCAGCAAGTGGTGTGCCGGCTCACAGGCGGATGAGAGTCTGCAAACATAAGTTTGTTTGGTGAGTCAGCTGAGTGAGGTCAGCAATGAGTGTCGTCAGTACAGGGAGTTGGCACCTTTCTTTTTGTTCTTGGACCTCCAACGATGAGTGTTCATGTGATGTGAATTCTTGCTGCCATTTAAGATGCCAGCTGAGAATTGGCCCTAAGATAGCGCCTTTTCCTGCAAGCACCGATTCGGCCCCTCAATAACTTCACCTGTGGACATAGTTGCCAGCCATGCGAGAGGGAAAAAATTGGCCACTGTAAGCCCCTGCTGACCTGCTGAATTGAGGCCATGCAGCTCGTGCTGGTCCTGCGCCTTGGAGCAGATTTTTCGGGCAGCGTCTTCAAAAAGCCCCTGGTCCAGGATTCCTACAGCCGAACATGCAAGAGTGCGTTGAATTCGAGGCTGGCCATCGTCAGCGTGGCCACGATCAAGCACATCGGCGCGTGGCTACACGACACTGCAACTAGACGGACTGCTTAGCCAGTAGATGCGTTCAAGATGTGTTAGTGTAGACATCGTCTCATCTATGGACTCGCAGATAAATAGACGAAAATATTTCCAACCTAAGATCGCCTATGGCGATACTGCAGCAGATTGCAACCCAGAGCCGAATAGTTGGCAAGAGAAGCACCGAAGACTGACCAATGTTCTGTGAATCCAGTGAAACGGTGCGCATTCTGCACGAACCTGCACCGAAATCCTCAACAATCTTGCAATTCTGGGGTTATAGGGCTGTTGGTTCTAGTTCGGGGCGACTCGATGCGGGAAGATGTAAGACAGGTCCCACAGCAACTGTGGTAGGGTTGCGGCGAAGTTGTTGCCTTGCCGCTTACTGCCTGCGCAACCCTTGATGCCCACAGCCGGACCACTGAGAGTCCGGCTGGGAGCTTGGCTCCTCGAGCTGCCCCAAGGAAGCGGACCTCTTGGCAGCGCAGTGCCGCTTGAAAGACAAGGCCGCAGCTGCGCTTGTGTAGTTGCAGAGATCATCGATTCACCCAAACGTGATAACTAAGTGGCACCTCGGAACAGTCTGTCGGTGCACCAGGAAAATTTGCACCTTCCTTCCTTACCAATGGGTGCCATTGTGTCAGCTACCTGCGGCGTTATTTCGGTCCAGCTTAGAATACCAGTACCACTTCTGGAGCCACAGGTGTGCCTTTCCGGCAGTTCTACAGACTGGCAGGCTAAAGGTGTGGCAAAGAGGCAGCTCCCAGCCGTGTTTGCTGCAAAGGTCGTCTCGCACCGGGAGTGAGATGTTTGTTAGAATCGGCTGTTTGTGTCACTCACGCATGTGAGACACAAATCTTTCGCCGTTTGTTGTTCCCCTCTGGGCTGAAGGTCCACTGTTGGAGGGGTTCGCCAGAAAGAGTAGCAGATTAGCACGCGACGGGCTAAAAGCCAAGAGACACCAAGACATGCCTTTCCATTCCGTTTCACATGCAGCCTCGAAGCGCTCACAAGAACACGCTGAAAGCAAAACGCGATTGGACTCCGCATGGCGGAAGGAGCGCATGCAGTCCTGCAGTTTGCCACACTCGTGCCAGGCCTAAGCCTTAGCCGCTTAGCCAAATTGAAAAATCTTGCGCAAATTGCAGGCTGCAAGCCAGCAATACTGTAATGACTGTAATGTATGCAAGCAGGGTAAGGCCCAGAGCCTACTTAACAGGAACTTGCAGGAGATGCAATCGAATTGTAGGCGATTCCCTGCAGGCACTCAGGGAACCCAAATAATTTGCTGTTCCTAACTACATGACTTGGACGGGCAAAAATGAGGTGGGTTTTGGCCGCCGAGATCACGCCTGAGAAGCCAGAGGAGAGGGATAACTGCAGCTCCCCGTCCTGGCCCGTCCTTTTCTGCAGCAGACTTTTGGCATTCCACCCTGTACCCGAGCTAGGCGGTAGGTCGTTGGAATAGCATAAGTTTGGAAACCAAGAAAGCCCAAGCTCACCAGATCAGTGGTGCGCAGGCCTATCATTTCTACGTCACGTTGCCGGCCGGGTCAAGATCCCAGTGTGGTCCCTGCGCTGGGCACCTGCACGCAGACTAGAATCCTGAAGTCTAGAAGGATCTTCGTGCTTTGTCCTGCCATAAAGCAGAGGAACTTCAGACACGTGCCACCTAGCACCTTTCCTGTCTCGGTGGCGAGGATGGAGCTGGAGATCTTCTGAGACATGATCCATGATCCTGCCTTTTGTGTTTCACACGGCCAAGATGGCAAAGCCAGGCCCCGGCCCGAAACCAGAGGCCGACCTCCGCTCTTCACGCCTCCACTACAGGCTTTAGAGAGCAACGTGTGTGGTCCCAGACTGCTGAGAACAAGGTCTTGCGAACTTTTTGAGCAGATTCGGACATGGGAGGAAGCAGGAGCCATACGCGAGTAGATGCACGTCTTGATTTGCCATTCCGGATCGCGAAGCCTGGCAGACACATGGAATTAGATAACGGAAATGCCCCAACGGATGAAGCGATAAAGCTACTGTAGGAAGTAGCGAAACTCACACATCTCCGGCAAGCTGCACATCTAAGCAAAAGCTTCAGAGCCCCGCCTTCATGCGCAATGCCTAGACGTCCTGCCGAGATCCCACCTGACGACGAGTGGTCCCAGGCTTGCATCCATGACAGTTGCTGGATGTTGCATGGAGTGTCTTACGAGCACACTGTTTTGAATCATGGCGGCCAGCTGACGAGGTTCGATGCGACACGGTCTCTTATCACAGCAGCAGCTTACACATGATGCTCGCGTGTACTGGATCAGGAGGCTGCGAAAACCTTCTGGTGGGGAAACTGGAGGGCATGAGCCTCGCGGTGAACCATAGGATTTCCTCCTGTGTAAGCATGCTGGAAAGCGCTGAACCCGAGGATCCTAGCAACTGCCTATTTCCGTGGTTGTACGACGATGGAAGGCCTCGTCCGGGCTTGAGCATGCGGTGCGAGCCCAGCGACAGCCTGCTTCAGACATGTCGCCGAGCAACCGCTAGCGCAGATTGCAGCCTTGGACTCGTGCACTGAGGTCCGCGATACCCGATGAAGGCGGCAGTTCACGTTCATTCTATGTGAAGTATGCGTCACCATGGATGGGAATGAATTTCTAGTGACTGCGATCGAGCGCAGCATGGCAGTTGGGAGTGGCGGCAAGGGGGGGGGCAGGGCGGTCACATAATTACCGCACATATAGCAGGATGACTGGGGTGTGCAACCATTTCCTGTCCAGTCCTCAGTGCTGGTTGGTTCATGCGCGTGCTGCGAGAGACCATGCTCATTGGACATCAGGTGGATTACAGTTCCGAGTGGGCTCGCGGCAGGCCCCAATGGGAGGCAAGAGCCAAAATTCGTTGTAGTGGCTTCTGTACGTTACAGTTAACAGAGATGAGCTTGGATTTGTTCGGTTTTTGTTATGCCGTAATCAAATTCGTTTGAGTGCGAATTGTGCTGTCAGGTTTACTTGGATGCGTATGATGCGTGGAATCGAGAGACTTGCCGCCTCATCGAATTGTACCGCCGCAAGGCAGTCATTGAAGTGAGTCTTATATGTGCCGAGCGGTTTAGTTCGTAATGTGCTCGGTAGGTGGAGGAGCTAGATTACGAGGAAAGTGTGGAGGCACGTGTGCAGATGTGCTCGAGATAGCCTGCACCCGTGCAGATGCTCCATCCAGATGCTTGAAGCTGTTGCTACTGCAAGTCGTAAGCTATGCGTCATTGCAGATTTCGTGATCGTGCTCTTGCTGGTTTGACGAGCCGGTGGCAGGTTTACGAAGGCAAGTTTCCAGACGTTCCGGAGTATCCCACAGCAAATGCTGCAGCCACAGTTTCAGGCCAAGAACAGAATCCTTCACCAGCGAAGTGCACGATTGGGATATATGATATATGCATTCGCTTGGCTTTGGAGCCTGAACTTCGTGATGCACGCATGCCGGAGTAATCTGGCGTTGCTCAGGCTGATGTACTGGTGGCGGCAGCAGAACCTGATGTTGTTGCAGGGAGACCCAGCGCAGCGAGGTTTTGTACTTTGTCAAGGTGTCAAGTTTGCGCACCTGGTATGGCGCAGAAGTCGGCCTGATCATCGTACATTGGCCTTGAGGCTCTTGCCGATGCTTTGGAAGACCCAGACAGTGACGTCAATTGCAAGGACAGGGTGTGTCATCAGACAGTTGTCGGACTTGGGTCATCCTGGCTTTCTGTGCAGTTCAGTATTGATTGATGCTGGATTTGGAGCTCATTCCAGTCTGCTTCCTATTTTAATTGTATGTGTTGTACTTTTTGGTTTCAGGGCTTGCAGCAGTAATGCTGCAAGCTGGGACCTGGCGCTGACCTGCCTGGTGCGCGTGGCAATGCAAATGCAGTGAACTCACTACTGCTTAGTCGCTCACTTACTCACGCAGCCTGTCACTCCTTCTCAAACTCCTTGCTTGTCGCCCGCTTCAGGCTTTCACTTGCTCACCCGCTCCAAATTGCATATGCACTCGCTATGGTTCGCTTGCTTGCTATACCGCCAAGGACCCCAGGTAATTAGAGCTGTAGCTGCCGGTTCGCCGCATGCCAGACCAGCACAAACGACTCAATCATGTTTTGCCTTCGCTGTTTTTAAACACGATCCTGCATACGGTGCCGCATGAATCAAGAACAACGCAACGTTTCGTTGGCGTAGGAAACCAAACTCATGCTGGCCCTCAGCTTGCCGGCAGTCAGTGTGAGCTTTCACTTCAACCCACTGCATTCTGCAAATCCCTTGTGCTTGGGCAACGCTTTGTTAGAAATGGTGATCCAGGACTGTGGCCTTTGGACGCCTTTGATGTACGCTGCATTCGCTGGCAGCATTGAGTGCGTCGAGTGCCCACCACGTATAATAGCTTCGAGACGCTCAAGCACCTGCCCGGTCGACTCGCAGGTACCTCGTGGATAATGGTGCAAATCTCCATGCTCGCAACAACCTGCAGGCCAGCCGTGAGCACGTTGAACTCAGTGACTTCCCGACGAGGGCTTGATTGCAGAGAAGTGTGAAGACTTGGCAAGGACACGGCATACGACATTGCCATACAGGCCTTTGCCAAGAAGCAGTGGTTTTCTCAGCTTTGCATCCTTGCATGCACGTTGTCGTCATAGTCGATAACTTGACATAGCGATGTCAGGCCTGACCATCCTGTTCTGCGTTTCCTTCGGGAGGCTTGGGCAAGCTGTCAAATTCAATCCGAAGCCATGCCCTGACTAAGCCCCTTGACGTTGCATACGTTGGTTTGCGCTCACTGCGGAGACGCGGAGGCCTCTGCACCTCGGGGAGCTGGCTGGAGATCGAAGCTGGCAGAATGAGCAAAAAGCCGCAGTGCGAGGCCAACCACACCAATCCCACAGATTATTCTTGCACTAGCAAGCGATATGAACCTGTCCTCACTTATGCAAGTTGATGAGCCTTTGCAACAGTTTGCATCAGTTCGGGTGGTGGTGAGGTGGCTGTGGGCTTAATTTTTGCTTTTCTGTTGTCGCAGGGCGTGGGTTTGGATTAGGGCGTTGGACAAGCGACACCAGGCATGGCCAGGCAGGTCCCGCATCCACGATATTTGGGGATCTGACGGCTTAAATCCAGTCCAAAGTGACTGGAATACATTCCCAGCTCCATCTAAGTTTAGGATTACGTGGTCAGAGAGGATGCCAAGAACATCGAACATAGTTTCGTTGGTTCTACTCTGTAAATCTGTGAGCACTCCATTAATCGATGCGTGAGCACTCCATTAATCGATGCGTGTTCTGCCTGGTGCATTGCACGCACTGCTCTGGGCGCTTTGCAACGGTGACTGGCGGCAGTTGCTTCGACGCGCTCCGTCCAGGCCTAAGTTACCTAAGACCTCGGAGCCAAGAGCGCTTTGAGAATACTTTCTCGAAGCTTTCTCTGCCCCATCCACAGAAGGCTTTCCCTGGCCGCCTGGCCCTTGCCCACCAACTTGCAGTCAGCAGTGCCGTCTCCACGGTCAGACACTTGATTTGCTTCTATGCTCGACTATGTAGGACTTTCAGGCGTGTCCTCTTCCAAATTGTGCTGCTTGGGTCAGTAGGGAAACTGGCCACAGGAGGGAATCGATGAGAGGTCGCAGAAACGTGATGTGGAGGTGGCTGAAATTGTTTGCCGAGGCATGCCGTCCTCGTGGACGAGGAGAGAAGACGCGCGGCACGATTTGGGCAGCATTCTTTGAACTTTTTGTTTAAGGGAACTATTGCGGTGGCATGCGGGAGCGTTGAAGATTGATGGTGCTGATGGTACTTGTGGCTGTTGTTTGTAGTTTGCGGTGTTACCATTGCCTGTCAAACATCTCCTGTAGAGAAATCGCTTCCCTGATGGGAGCAGTGAAAGTCGAAACTGTAAGCGAAACTTTCTCAACCATACAAACTCCCGGGCCTGAGCCGCAATGTACAATCTCGACCGCGGCCGACAAGATCTGACATTGCTCTTGCACGTCCATGCCCAGCCCAACATACCACAGCTACGCGGCCTGCAGTCGCGAGTCACCACAACGACAGGCCTGGGCCTGTCACCACCCGCAAACAGAACCCTGTAAAGCGGATAGTGCGAGTAGCACTACTCGCGCACCAATTGCAACCACCTGAAAATCTGCACCGCCGAAACGAAATGCCGGTGCTGGGAAGTAGTCTTTGTTTTCCACGCTGGCCAACGCTCATTGTCGGACGCAGTCGGATTGATTAGGTCGCGCTCGTGCCTCCAAGGAGCAACGCCATCGGAGCTATTGTGGAGCCATCATGTCCGTCTCGGTTCGCGAGATGTGCCCTTGCAAAAAGAATTATGAGCTCGCGTCCATTCCGACATAATTCGATCAGTTGCCCAGGCGTTCTGTGAGCTACCTGCACCGAACCTTGGTCGACGCGACGCTGCCGAGCGCGTTGCACGATTGGCAACCTCGCAGCATTCAAAGGTGTTCTCAGGATCCACATCACTGTCCACTGACAGTCTAATCCTGTCCATACCCAGTCAGAATCCATGACATGTCATGACATAGGGGAACCTTTCGGAGTCGAACCTGTTGAGCACCTTGCTGGGAAGCCAACATAATCATGGAACTCATGTTCCATGCCTCACGGCACCACCGCTGACTCGAGAGTATCGCTGGCTTCGAACCTATACAATTCAGCTACAACGCTCCGAAGTGCCCACGGCAAGCTGCTGACCCATCTCATCAGGCTCGCTGGGCGCCCCTGCGCCATCGATGCCATTCATGGCGCAGAGCAGAGGAAGCTCAATCGAATTCAGGTCAGATATAGCGCTAGGTGCGTTGATAGGCAAGCGATCTCTTACTTTATCACGTTGCCAAGACGAGCTGTCTGTTGTTCTGTGCCAAGATACACTCACGGAGTGCCTTGTCCTTGAGCCGCCCAGGAGGGTCTCAGCACGTCGAAAATTGCGTGGGTGTTCCGCAACTTGGCGAACGGCTAGCTCACAATCGTTGCGCGCGCGACAAGTACAGTGGCTATAGTTGGTCCTAGCTTCACAAGCGTGTCTATTGGCGAAGTTGCAACATCATGGCAATCATCCGAGACTGCCAAATAGTCCCGAGGGCAGCAACATCCACATGTTTCCATAAGTGCTGTTGAATGCTGGGATTGGAATTCACAGCGATTTCTCGAAGCATACATAACCGTAGGCTCAGACACATTATGGAATCGGAAGGTGTGTGTTTCTCGACGGAAGCTGTTGCAGTGGCACCGGCGCCTTGGTTGGACCGCCTGGAGCTAGGCAGGGGTGCCACGGGTGTGCAGTGGGCAAGCTAGGCCGGATTGCGTTCGCAGCTGGCTGATGACTTGCAAGTTGACTTGTGATTCGAGCTGAGCCTGATGCTTGCAGCTGCATGGGTCGTTGTGACTATGGCCTTGTGGACTAGAACAGTATGTTTCCGTTCTACGTGATGGGTGACGGAAGGTTCTTCAACAGACTCACCATTCATAATACAAGACGTGGTCCTTGTATTGAGAGTCTCAGTGTGACTATCGTGCTATAAAAGCGTCTCATGCACCAATGCAGGTTGGTACAACGAGAGTCTAGACCAATACCATGCAAATGGTTCGGTCACCCTGCACTATGTGACTCTCACCTGCGATTTGCAGCAACTTGCCATTGACGCAGAATGAAAAGGCACCGGCAAGGATGTTGGACGCAAAATACACAGCATTGCTTATTGCTCCTATCATGTTCAAATAGAGAAGACACGACCAGATTAAGGAACGGTTTTGCTCACAGAGAGATGGCGGTGCGCTGTCATTGTGGAGAAGGACTGGTGCAGTGGCAGTTCCCTACGAAGATATGGAATGACCACGCGTCAAGCGTCACCGGGATTTAGGAGGAAAGCAGGCTGGGCAGGATATGATGCATGCTTTGGAAGCGGCCTACATCTCGACAAAAAAAGTATAGTTGTGTGCTAGATGACTGATTCGCAAAGCGGCGGAATTCATGTCCAGCCGACTTGACGGTAACATACGTTTTCGGTAATCTCCCAGCATGCAGCTCGTTACCAGCCGAGCGCAGGCCCGTCAATGACGTCTTGGACAGGAGATGCAGGCTGTTTCCAATCTTTTGGTGTGGCTTGTAGTTTCAAGCTGCAGCCTGCCGCAGGCTCTAGACAGCATAGGAGACACCGGCTCTCAAGTGTTGTAAAAACCTGTGGCCAAAGCTCAGGCGTTTCTCTTTGGAAGCGAAAACACACGCAGTATTGAATCCTGTCTGAACTTGCTATCCTGCAGACGGCAACCAGACGCTGGACATCCAGCTTCCCAGTCCCTCGCATGCAGAAGCGGAGGTGCTTCAATGCATTGTGTTGCTGGCATCTCGAATAGTAGTGAACCGTGCAACACTGGCACTTTGAATGCATTTAAAGAGTTTATCTTCGTCCGCCAGGGTGTGTGCAGGATGATGTGAGCAGGCGTTTTCCAGGATCATGCCAGACGTCCAGAAGACTGGTGTCAACATGCAGGGTTTGCGCAGTTGTACTCATGCAAAAGCTGAGGCGGCAAGAACGGTGTCACGGGCATTCAGTCATGATTCTGATCAGCTTTTGTGCTCCACCCAAGGCTGTTGCCCGCTTCGTCGTCCTGATGCCACCCCGATGTGCTTCGCTTATGCCCCTGCAGGTCGGGGTAGGACTGCACCAGTCGTCATGGCATCGACATAGCAAGGTCTTCTACAGAGGCGTTCCATTGGCTAGCCGCACCGCTGCACAGACTGGTGCCTGAGCTTAATCTTGCGAGGCAAATCGCAGCTTGCCGGGCCGAGGGCGTGTTAACGTAAACATCGGCTAATGCGAACTTATTGTTTGCTTTGTGAGTTTTGAATTCCATGCACGCTCACCTAGGCTGTTTTGGGCTTCTGTGCGTCAGCATCGGGTTTGGTTTGGAGGCGCAGCACACTTCAATTCTGAAACCCAGGAGCCACCGTGCCTTGCGATGCGGCGCGGGCGCTGGGATTTTCACTTGTGCTTCGATGGGAACCTTACGCAGGCACGGGGCATCGATACTGGGATGTGGCAGCGCAGGTTTTGTTGCTGAAGGAGCTTGAAGCACCATGAGATCCAACAATGCAACGCGAGGTCAAGCTCAGCCGCTCGCCTGTGCAAAGTCCACAGGCAGGGAGTGATTGCAAATCTTTCATCACCTGGTTCGAGCCTTCGAACAGGGCGAGCTCGATAGAGAGCAGATGCCAGAGAATTATGTGTTCGCCCTTCCACGTGTCGAGGCCTTCAGCTTCCTTGGAGGCCCGGCCTTGAACGAGGCGACGCAGGGGATGCAGCGGAAAAGAGCAAGAGGAACACGGAAAGCATGATATGTCACTGCAGCTACCCCCACAACAGGACTTCCCAGCTTTCCTCAGGTGCGCTTTGTGCCAGCGGAGCCTGCAGTGCCAGGGCAAGCCGTGGTTCACAGTCGCTCAGAGAAAGCACAGGGTTTGTGATGGGACTTCTTGGTGACTGCTGGTAGTGGTACTCGTGCCACGGCCGCCTGGCCATTTGCTTCCAAATGGATCGAAGCTCAGAACTCGTTGACGTGCTGTGCCAAGGCACCCCGGGAGCGGACCCAGCCTCTGTTGCATCTGCTGCGGTGCCGGCACCGCTTCTTGCCACGTCAGGATTCGCGGATTTCATGCTTCATGGTCTAGGGCCAGGGCATTTGGGGCTTCATGAATTTAGGATTTCGTGAGTCTAGTGGCGAGGTCTTTGGAAAGGACGTCTTGCAGTCTAGACGTAAGTGTGTGGCGTACGAATTTTATCGCAGCTCCGTTTGGACTCGAGTTCTCCACGACCAGAAGAATGCAAAGACCCCGACAACCCTAGGGCAGCACTAGTACTCCCATGCCCATCCTCGAGCTTTCTTTCTGTTGTGCTTGTCGTGCTTGTCTCCTTGATCGACTGTCTGCCATTTCTGACACTGGAAGGCTTGCAGAGGCCCTTGCCCCGAAACATCGGGGTGCGGGCCCCAGGGCGGCGGCAGAGCTCACGCTGCAGAGCGGAGAGGCCCAAACTTGACTTGTGTTCCGATGCAACAAACCGAACCCAATCGCCTCTCACGTCTGCCCTTCAGGTTTGCCGGAGCTCAAATGGCACGGAGCACCATCAAGTGCACTTGAGGCGCCTCGGCCTTGTGTGCAACAATGTTCCTGTTGCACAGGGCGCGAGGGTTTCGATCTCTCGTGGAACATCGACTGCTTCAAGGATCAGGGACCTCGCAAGTTATGATTAATACAATCGGGGTTGAAAGCACCCTGGTTGGGGTCACGGTTTCAGGTCTTCCGTCTAAGTCCTGCGAGCCTTTGACCGGGGGCCCTCCTCCCCCCGAGACTTTGGACAGTCCAGATAGGTAAAATTCGGAGGGGGGTTGGGGGGATGGGGGGACGGCGGCACAAGAGTTCCTTCCTTGGTTATGAGCAGATAGAGACTGTGGAATGTGAACAGTGTTATATATAGAGTCCACAGCATAAGGCTGCATGACATACATCGTGAATACTGCGTACATCCGTGCTTACCTCATTCGTACATACATACACACATACTGACATACAGGCATATGTGCATACATATACGCATGCATACATACCTGAGATTGCCGTCAAGTTTCAAAGCCGCCGAAATGTACTAGAATCTAGAACTACTCCAGAATGCCATGGAATTTGCCGTTGTTCCAAAACGGAACACCATTGTCGAATACAACAAAGCCATTTCTGCTTGTCGACGCTGCAGGGATTGGCAGCAGGCCTTGGTGCTTGTGACTCAGATCAAGGCACTGGGCTTACAAGCAGACGTAGTGACGTACAACTCTTCCATAAGCACGAGCGAGGCTGTAGGCAGATGGCAAACGGCTCTTCAGTTTTTTCATGAGATGGCCCGAGCTACACTCCAGCCAGACGTGATCACGTTCAACTCCACGATCAGTGCCTGTGAAAAGGGCTCTGCTTGGATGGAGGCCCTGGTTATGTTTGTCCAAATCAAGGAGGTGCGTTTGCAGCCTGACACAATCTCCTTCAATGCGACTATTAGTGCCTTTGAGAAAGCGGGCAAGTGGCAGCATGCCCTTGTCGTCCTGGACAATGTGCAAGCCTGCCATGTGCAGCCAGATCTGATTACGTACGATTCCACCCTGAGTGCCTGTGAGAAAGGTTCGGCATGGCAACAAGCTGTTGCAATTCTCGCTTGCATGAGCAGGGCTGATCTCGAGCGTGATATCATCACCTACAACTGCACGATCAGTGCTTGCAAACATGACCAGTGGAAGCTAGCTTTGCTGCTCCTTGTGGAGTGTGAAGTCATTGCGTTACAGCCAAATGTTGTAACCTTCAGTGCAGCCATCAATGCTTGCAGCCGAAGCTCGGCTTGGCAACCAGCTCTAACGCTGCTGCAGAACATGCAGCATGTAAGAGTACAGCCAAATCTAATCACATACGTTTCAGCAATCAGCGCCTGCGAGGGGGCGGCTGAGTGGCAATTGGCTTTGTTTCTGCTGCGGCAAATGCCGGAGGCTGCGGTGGCCGCAACAAATGCAGCAATAAGCAGTTGCGAGAAGGCAGGTGCCTGGCAACATGCTCTTCTGTTGTCCAAGCTGTGGCCCAATGGCCTGAGGCCCGATGTAGTCACATCAAACGCGTCGATAAGCGCATGCGGACGCGCAGTGAAATGGAAATACTCTTGCGAGATATTTGGATCCACCACGCGACCAAGCCTGGTGACGTGCAACTCCACCATTAGTGCCTGCGAGAAGGCGGCAGAGTGGAGGCCCGCATTAATTGTCTTAGGCCAGGTTGTTGAAGCTCGTTTGTCGCCAGATGTTATAACATACAGTGGGGTCATCAGCGCTTGCGAGAATGACGCTCAGTGGCTTCAAGCTTTGCTTCTTTTAAGCCTCTGTGCTTCACAACTACTTCAAGCAGATGAGATCGCTTACAACTCAGCCATCAGTGCCTGTCACTCGGGAGAATGGCAGCTGGCCTCATCCTTGCTGCATGAAATTAGTGCGATGAGATGTGAAGTCGATACCATCGCCTACAATTCCAGTATCAGCGCTTGCCAACAGTACGCAGAGTGGCAGCAGTCAGTCTTCTTGCTTTTCGAACTTTGCGAAAGACGCCTGGAAAGTGATGTCATCACCTATCAAACTGTTGTGAAGGCCTGCGAGGTAGGGGCAGGCTGGCAACAGGCACTTTTCCTTTTGGGTGATGTCGAGACTCAGCGCTTGCAAAGCTTACGCCACTCAGCCCGACGGAGAAATGGGCAGCAAGGGTTGCCTCGCAGCTGCTAGCTACTGTAGTGCCGGGTTCTTGACCCGTGGTCTAAGTATTGAGCGTTGGTTTGAATCACCGTAGCTGCGCTGCCTGCTGCACGTGAATGATGCATCATGCTGTAACTACCGTCGTCGAAAGACCAACATTTCTATGCTGATCACGCGCCACGGACTGAAATTTCCAGGACAGAATTGCCCGGTATCTCAGAAAGATCGATGTGATCACACAACCCGCCGAAGACATGGTCATGGCAGGTTTATTTGCCCAGCGAACTGGCTGAGCTCTGCACCGGTGCGCAAGGGCTGATCTTCGCATCTGACTTCGTGACTTTGTGCTGTCTGCTATCGGCTACAGAGTGAGAAAGATGATAGCCTGATAGCTCTTCAGCCTGAGCGTGACAAGTGTTGTTTTTGCATGGGTCCTCCTCATCAAGACCTCGAGCCAGGACACTGCTGGCGGGCACAGTGCCCTGATCGCCGTAGAGCGACCGCAGGGTGACTTGTCAGTCTTTGATCAATTCAGATTGAGACGATCCCAGTGGCCGCCTTTCATGGTACTTGTATATTTTCCATGATTACCTGATGTTTCTAGGAAAATAAGTTCTGCTCTCAAGGCTGCCGCTGGGTGGCCTGGGTTGCGACGCTCCTCCTGTGTGCAGATCCTCGTTTGCGGCCGCCTCCAGCGGAGGCCCCGCGGGAACCGGGCCGGGCCGGGCCGGGCCCCCCATTTCGCTCGCTCGCGGCTTTACACCCCCCCACCCCGCCGCCACGCGCCAGGAGAGGCGGGCGATTCACTGCAGAGACGGCAACGAGGAAGCAGAGGCGATGCGACACCTTTTGGCCTTGGAGTCGGGCATGGAAATCAAGTCACTGGAGATTGCAAACGGGCTGTCCCTTGTTCAAATCAGAATCGATCAGAAAGTCTGAAGGAAGACACGGATGGGAGCAGGTTTGGACACTGTGATGCAAGTCTTGTTTTATCTATGTTTGCATGCATGTGTCAAAAGATGCCAGGGCAGGCAGCCGCAGCACCCTTCGGTGCCGGGAGAAGCAGAAACCATCCACGAGGCGCAGCTTGCAAATAAGCTTCAAAGCGAGGCTAGCCAGTTAGCACCGAGGCTGCTACAAAGACGACCCCCGCTACCCCGGCAAAAACGAGCATATGCTATGACTTCCTTTTTGGGTTCGGCCCAGCGGCCTAGCCTTGCCAGGCCGACAGCGCAGCCGAGGGAGCGCCTCGAAGAGTGTTCCAGCTGCACTTGTATGCAGGAGTTGTTTTTGATTGTTTCTGAGCTCTTCTGCTTTAGTCAGATACCACCAGCCCAAAGCTTGAAAAAGTTCTGCCGCTCTGAGACCAATAGATCTTTGCCGAGGACCGATCTGGCATTTTGTTCCGTGTTGGACAGCTCCTTGGCTCAACGAGTTCGTTGACTCATGTCCAGCACAGTTGAGTTTGCTCCAAGGATCGTGGTGAATGTAGCAGATGGCACACTTAGCGTGGTGGCTGGCTGGGACCGTGAGCCCAACCCGAAGATGTCGGGACCAAAGACTTTCTGCTCGTTGCAAGCCTGCTCCAGATCACTGGACATGTTCATCGCAATATCTGAATCTGAACTATAAATGTGGTTTGGGACAGCCAACCATGCACAGCGTCCGTGAATGCATTCCGCTTCACAGACTGGCGCTTCGCCGAAGACAGAACTTGCCCGACGAGCACGAGGCTCAGAATGCCAGCAGCTGCCATCCGCGGCATGTCTCGGGGACGTTTGGTAACTTGGTACTTGCATCAGACACATCATGCTGCCGCAAGAGGCTGCCGAGAATGCTCCGATGTCCTCTCGATCTCCCAAACGCGCTGAACTGTGTGTTCGAACGAAGGTCGACCTCCAGTCCCCACTGTTTGTTGGCAGCACTGGCAGGCACTGGCAGTTCGTGCTCGGGTTCTGGATGCAGAATGAGTTAATTAGATCCCGAAACGAGTTGAGCACTTCAACAAGGCTCTACCTGGGGCTGAGATTTGAGGTTGTTGGCACTGCTTGCAGTGAATTGAATACGAGCAGCATCGAAAAGAGAGCGAAGGTTTGGCTAGCGTACTGCGGCGAGGGGCACGCAAATCTCGCAGTCGGACAGCCAAACTACTTCAGTGGTTGTGCACTTTTTTCCAGGGCAGCTCCCGCAAGCCGGCATCCTCCGCAGTGATGCCGGGGCCTTGCTTCATGGACCTCGTCGTTCTGGTACATTTGTGTACCTGTGTGCTCTTGGCGAAGGCAGAAGTGCCAAGAGCAGACATTTCTGTGCAGCTGTAGAACACGCCAAGAAGCAAGCTGCCAAAATCAAAGGCAATGGGCCTTCCAGGCAAGATCTCCTACGTTTCTCAGGATTCGCTGTGCCGCAGTCGTCATGAAGCTTCTGTGAAGCCTGCGTTTGCCCACTGCACACTCCGGTGTTTTTCCTGCAGGCACACAACATGTCTGTCATGTCGCAGGACCAGCTTCAGGCTTATCATGGACCCCAGCCAGGCAGACTCTCTCTCCCGTGACTCCAAGATTCGCAGGTTTTCGCAGTGGCATGGTGCAGAAGCAGCCTGTAGATGACAAGTGATGGTTCATTTCTACACACTGACGCACTCATGATTTCTCAAGGTTATCAGTTTTTGGACATAAGTTTGTGCTAAAGCCTTGCCAACCTAAATGAGTTCAACTCTAACTTGTGTGCGTCAGGAATTTGGTTCAATTTTCAGCGAGCTTGCAAGCATCAGATGCCAAGCAACAGACCACGTTTTGACTTTTGGCCCCGCGAGACCGTCTCAGAGCGGCATCATCACTTGGCTTCACTCCGACCGGGAGTGGAGGCAAAGCCTTCGCTATTGGGTGAATTCACCGTTGCCTTCGAACTGGGAAGCAAGTACATTGAAGGGGGATTGCTCTGATGGGAGCAGGTGGACAGGCATCGCTTGACGGCCCCTTGTGAGGTTACATGCCGATCTCCTGGCTTGCAGCTCTTTATCCGCTGGATGTTCAGCTGCAGCCAGAAGGCTGCCAAGTACAGTAGCTGGCGTGAGCGAGTGGTCGATGATATCTGATTGACAATGCCAAAGAACTCACACTTTTCGACAATCTCGGACACATGACGATTGCCTTGCAGGGAAGGGTTGTTCACATTGACTGAGCACAGATCACACGGCTTGTCAAGCCCCATCAGGCCAATGTTCTCACTTGATTGAGTAAAGTGCCGCTAGGTGGTCCTGAAGCCATCGCGGACACCACTGAACCAGGAAGCTGGAGGTGCCGACTGAAACTCTTTCCGGAGCTTCTGGGGCTGCTCGTAGCAGACGAAGCGAAGACTGTGGACATGAGTCGAATTCATCGGAAGTCCTCTGTCGACGCAACTTTTGTTCATGTCTTCGCCGGGAGCTTTTACTGCATGCTTGAGATTCAGACTTGCAATGAGGCCTATCGGCCAAGAGACACTGCTGGATCTTGTGGTCGTGGGCTTGAAACTGCAAGTCTTGCAAGGTGTTGCGCTGTGTTTCTTCCACCTTTGCCGCATCGTTACGCATGTGCGAACTGTTGAGAGACGGCATGCGGAAGCATCGCGACTTGTAGATTTGAAACCGTCTGTGCTCCCGGTTAGCCATCTGGCTGAGCCTGCTGGCGGTCGTCGCGGCGGCGGGAGGCAAGATGGGTGAGTCTGCATTCTGCGAGCATTGGTTACACTGACAGGCTTTTCATCACATACTTTGGTCTCAGGATGGTGTCTCGGGCGGATGGATTTGCTTCGCCGGGAGCGACCCCGGCCAAATCCGAAGAGGCGCAGCGACAGGAGGGTTCCACAGTCTGGCAGCGTGTTGGGTGTCTTGAGCAGGCCACTCAGTGAGACACTCAAATCAGGAAACTCGACGGCTAGACACGGATGGGAACGAAGGACGTCAGTTGCAGGCATCTTAGCTACTTGGATTGATGCAAGTCGACATTGGTAGCACTTTCTGTTGCAACATCTTCCCATGCTAGTGTGGGCAAGAGGTTCATTGCAAGGCTTGGCCACGAGGCGACGGAAGTAAGTCTCCCGATGCAGGCTCGCCTTTAGCAGCTTTCGGCGGAGGCACAGTGCTGCGGACTGAGTGCAACTGTTCACGACACTTTCGTGATCCAGACGCAAGAATAGAGATGTGAACTTGTGAACCACATTTTTCTGGCATGTTACAGCCAGGGGCTGACACAGGCACATCATGTGGGGAGGGTGAGCCCAGGACTCTCTTATATCCATCCTTCATGGCAACAGGAGTCTTGCAGATTCGGCGTTTGGCTTGCGAGGCTTTTGTCTTTGTTGATCCGCTGCATTCGGATCGATGTTCTATTTCCGGGTCTTGACATGTCTTGGCCATGGCTACTAGATTAGCCTGGAGTCTGCCGGCACCTGAAGCTGGCTGCACAAGGTCAGCAAGAGCTTCGAGGACGAGCTTTGCGCCCCAGTTCTGTGTTGCTTTGCACAAGTCGTTGTAGCGGCGGTGTTCCTCAGTAAGCTTGTGCTGCAGCCGCCTGCGCACGTAGGAAGTAACCGGCTGCGCTCGTTTTTTCAGAAGTGCATGACACCGAGACGGACCGAGACTGTGTCTCCAAGGCCCTCAGCGCAAGAGCTGGTTCAAGGTCTCCAGGACCGGTTTTCAAAGCTGCCCCGTACATGTGACAGTGAACGAATGTCCCCCGAAAGGATGCTTGGACCAGACGTCCTGCCGCCTGGCATCGGGCCCAGCTCGAGGAATTTGCAAACCGGAGCTCTTCATGAAGCAGCTGAGACATGTTTGATGCCAACAAGATGGGCAGAACTTGGATCCTGACTGTTGTCCATTTATCCGCTTCGCTCAGGGCTCGGCTTTTGACCCTGGATCGCAACTTGCCGGCAGTTTGGGCAGTGTTTGACAGAAGACTCTGCCTTGAAGGGCTGGCTCGATGGTTTGCCTATTCGTGCACGATTCAGTACACTGTATACGCTTTGCAATCAGCACACTTTGGGGGGGGCGGGCCCGCACGCTGGCATACGCTCAGACGCTGCAGCCAAGGCACAGAACGGAGCTTCGACAAGTCGCTGGAAGCTTCAGGCGGCAGAGACAAGTGGTAGACAGACGCTCCCAGTAGCATGTCACAACATTTGCAGGTCGAAGCACTTTGAGCTCGACGTGGCACACATGGCACGACTCCCGCATCTCGAGCACTTTGAGCACACGGAGCAGCCACCCTGGCCTGTTGAACCTGTTGTTGAATGCCTGCGGGCAGCATGGATGTATTTGTGAGCTTAAAGCTGGGCGCTCCAGCCTGGCCGGTAAAATCGGGCTGACTAGACGTTAAGATTCTTGGCAGACGTGTTGCATTTGGGAGTTTTGCACAACATAGCTTTCGATTCATCCGGATACATCACAGGAAGCACTGATACCAATTTGTCGGCCGAGTCATCAGGTGTTACTTTAAGTAAAAAAGTAGAGTCGGGCTGGCACGTATGGCCGGGAGACATGGGCACAGGCGCGGGCGTAGGTAGTCGTTACACTTTGCTCTTGCATGCCTGCTCGATCGCCAGGCTGCGGCAAGTTACAGCTGTCTGACACTTTGCTCAAGATCGGAACGATGAGCTCCATCAGACTCTGTCCTTGCGGCCGGATGTTTCCAGTGGTGTCAGTTGTCAGAGTCAGAGACAGGCTTTGGCTGAGAGAAAGGACAGTCTGTCAACACGCCCCTCATCGAAGCGGCTTCATCTCCGGCCGCTTAATGAGCAGGCTTCTTTGGGGGGAGTCAACATGAAAACAAACAGCTCTGGCATAGTCTTAGGCAGCGATGTGCCGACAGCTACAGCCAGACGACATTCTCTGCTTGTAGCCTCTGACATGTGCAGATGCTGATGAGGGTCACGCATGGCAGTCGTTGCAACAGCGCAGGAGCATTTGCAGCGAGGTTGCTGCATGCGTCGTCTCGCTCATGCAAGACATCTGGCAAAGTGCAAAGCAAAGGTTGCCCCTGGGTGGTCCTTGCGATATTGCGAGCTGCTGGGAGTTGGTCCCCCATGCAATTTGCGAAGGCAGGGGCAAATGATACCGAAATCGACAGCTCGAGATCAACTTAGAGTCCTGGACATCTCGCGGAACAGTTGCCCACTGGCATGCTTTGATTGAAAAAACCATGCTAGGGCTGCTAGGGCGCCGCTAGGTAACACTTCGGGCTTGCAAGGCTCAGCCGAAGAGAGGCGGTTATCGTGAGCGACCCAGATTTTACGGGCATGCTTGCTGCTACACGCGATCTCTTGGCCTGTCGAGTAACTTTTGTTGGGAGAGTGTGAAACCAGCGACGTCAGTTCATCAGGTCAGCTCCGAGATTGCATGGCAGTTCATCTCAGCGCACAAATCTAAACAAGACTCTGTCCGTCACAATCCTTCCCGCAAGTCGTGAATGGTACCGGTTGCTAGATGCAGCTCCTGCCCTTCATCAGCGGGCCTGGCAGGAGATGCCTCACGCGCCGGACAAGATCCAAAGGGACTTGATCTTTGACTCAAGCTTGCGAGCTAAACTCGAGAGCGGTTAGGGCCCGCATTGAAGAGAGTGTTCAAGCTTACCACTTAGTCTGTGTAGCAGAATCTGGCACATCCGCTCAATGCTGCAAGGGACAATTCGGTGTTTTTGGCTTCCAATCCTCGCAGTCCTGTGCTTAGCTCTGAGTCAGATCCCATACATGGATGGCAATGTCAGTCTGAAAAGTCACATAGACTCTGTGATACTCTGTGCCGTTGTCATAACATATCGTATTAGTACTTGCTTGGAGCTGTCGCTCTAGGCCGCGATCCGCGCCTGCAGCGCTTCGACTTCATGAGCTGCCCTGAATCTAGGCCGCGCACTGTCAATTCCACAAGCAGAAGATCTGGTGCCATATGTGCCAGCGTAATGCCAGGCGAACGGTTCGACGTAAAGCAGTTCAAGCCGATGCCGACGCCTGAGAGTCTGCTGCTTGCGTTCAGCACGATCTTATAATTACAGTCCATGACGTTGTGGTGACGTGGCATTAGCATCTGAACTGCCACAGCAATGAACACTGCAAAGACGGCTGCTCGAAGCAAAGCATAGCAAAGCGTTTGTAAGCTCCAGGTCATGAGCTGCACGCGGCGCTACATCAACTTAGCCTTCCGGTTCCCTGCTGCGTTTTATTTCTTGCGTGGAATGCAGCTCACTGTGCACGGAAACAGTTAAGCTACAAAACTGAGGCTGTCATGTTGCGTGGAGTTTGGCTATTGCCAGCTTGCTTTGTAAACTGTTTTGCCATGCTACCAGCTGCTACCACCGATTGCAATGCCAGGTATATGCAAATGCGGTACAGCGAGCGGATTGATTACCTCAAGAAACTTTTCGACAGCAAGCTCAACAAGGCCGTTGCCAAGGTTTGCGTCCAGACATGTGCAGTGCTTGTATGATTTGCCGCTACATGTTCCATGCTTTGTGCCTCGATGTTCTAGTGATAAAGTGCCACATGATACCACTGCGTTGGTTGAACTCAGGGCGGTCAGAACGCGCGAACGGAGCAGTACAGCATCTCGAACGAGGCCATCCGCTGCTGGAATGACTCAGCATGCAACATCCGGTGCAGTTCTCTCCATAGTGGGCAGTGGCTTTCAAGTTGCAGGAAGTGAACATGATTTGCCCTCATCCGACATGGCAATCATCCAATCCACGGCCTCAGCAGGAACTCAAGGGTTTGGCGAACAAGCTGGGGCTGCCAGAGCAAGAGGCACGGAGACCGGAGGGATTATCAGGTCTGCCACGTTTCACTCATGTTTGCCGTTCTGGCAAGTGCAATTAAGTGCTGTAGCTTTCTGTGTCGTCCTACTATGACTGTTTCTGTCAGGTGTTGTCTCGTTCTGCCTGTCACTATAGCCCTGGACGAGACATCGACCACCATGGCAAATTTAGACAGTTTCAGACACTCCTCATGAGCACACCAAACTGTGGGCGGCAAAGTAAAGACGACGACAAGAACACGTCTTTAGCTGCCGTCCAAACCCTCCACTGTAATTAAGTTGTCGCGCCGGTGGTTATGCCCCAAAGATAGTGCAGGCTCTCACTAAGTTGATCGGTGTGTCAGATTCCGAAATGGGCATGAGACAGAGCGTGCAAGGGTTTGCGGAAGCGATGTCTCCGCCGAAGGTCCCGCGGAAGGTCTGCATTGCGCGGTGGCCTGTATTTTATCAAAACAGTGGAAAACGACGTACATAATGTAATTGCTCTGGATGCCGACTGGAAGGGGAAGAAATCAGAATGAACCTCATCTTTTGTTGTGGGCTCGTGTGGGTTCAAAGGTTTGGTACACCCAACCCAGCTGCACGATTCAGTGGAGAAGAAAAGTCTGAGTTTGGGAGCTCCGGAGACGGCTCGTGGAAGCTGCGAGGAAGCGGATTCTTCCAAAGTAGAGCCACTGGGACTGGCGGCTTTGAAGGAGCAGTTCTTGTCGTTT